CATTATTTTTATATCCTTGTTGCTTACGGTCGTTAAATATCTCCACTAAGTAATAACAACAAAACTTCAAATCGTAAAAGTTACAAGCATTTGTGTTGTTATCAAAAAACTAAAGTTCTCAGACCCTTTTTGGAAAACCCTTTAAAATGGGAATCAACGACTGTATAACGGCAGTCGCCCGCATGCGAATGATTCAGGTGTGAACGAACCAATCCTATTCCTGGAGTGAATTATCGTCCGATTTTTCCAAGAGTGAAATCTCGCTTGGTGCGAACGATCGTCAAATTGTGACCTTTCTTGGAGAACGGGTTGCCGCTATAAGTGAACGGCGAGAGAGATGCTCGGCAGACTTTGGTACCGTCGTGCACGCGTTTCTCGAGTTACGCTCGTGTGTATGCACGTGTGCACGGAAGGCTCGTGTGGCCCCTGAATCGATGAAAGGGAACGAGGAACCGGTTGCAGGTCGATCGCACGTCGGATTCTAAGTCGTGACGGTTTCGAGTGTCTCTAACTACGCGATGAAGATGGACTGAATTCCAACTTAGATAATGCTGGTTGCACCAACGACCAAAAATCGAAGAAACTCGAATAACTGATAACCGACTTTGGAAGTTGTACAATCGCTACTTCTTTAAATGAGAATAGCGTAATCGTGCTTTTGTATCCGAACTCTGTATGTATTTATGCATATTTAATTTATAATATAGTCCAACTGTATTATTATTAATATTCATTGCAACTACTGCAGTAATTTATTATATGAATGAAATGTAACTTCATTCTATAGTTTGAATTCTAATTCGTAGTTCATTTAAAGGATAATGGATGAGAAATTCATTATCTTTTATTTGTTATAAGAAACTTCTACTTTCATAAGAATTTTGAACTTTTCTGAATTATGATGTAGCACGTAAAATCTTAAAAAAGGGTATAGTTAACATAGAACCGATGCAAATTAATTCTGTGGAAAAAAAAAGTATGATATCAAAAGTAAAATTCGACACAAATTTTATTAACATAATTATATGTTACTCTAACAAAATCGATTTGCGAATCGACATATATTCTTTTACTAGTATATTTGTACTATATACGTAAGTTGTACTTGAACGTACAAAATCATCCGGCCTTGTAACACCGAATTTTGACTTGCAAGAAATATTATACAACGAGCTTGCCTAAAAATAATTTATTTGATAAAGTTAACAGGTTAAAAGCCCTCTGTTCCCACAGATCAATGTAGCGAATATAATTTTATTTGTTTCAATAGACATCAATGTACTTTGTCCCAAATATAACCATGCAAGGATATTGCAAAAGAGTGTGATACAAGATGTACATGGTCATAATTACTTACTATTTCAACTTTAAGAAATATACATAGTTCACATTCCAATGACAATAACAATTATCTGAAACTAAAATAGACTTGCCTTTTGATAAATTCCAAATTATACATCAGCTTTGTATACACCAACTATTCTATTATATCTGATGATATGGCTATCAACACCACCTTAAATCGATACACTGAAAATAATTGTAAATTTCAATGTACAATTCTACAATAGATCCACATGTGAAATATCTCTCATTAATATTTAAATTTACATTCCGAAAATGACCCCCTACGAAACGCCTAGCAACAGAGCAACGAGTACTTCCAAAGACTATTAACTCGATGGATTTTGATTTTACGACGAGTATTATAATTGCCCGTTTTTTTAGCCGTAATTTAGATACGCGAAAATGAACGTGACGCTTGTATCGGGGCGCAGGCGACGCGTAGTTTTGTGTGAAAGCACGTTAAGTCCGGGCGAATCGTTTCCTAAGGAGAGAGAGAAGAGAAAGCCTGAGAACGTAAGAACAGCGAACGTCTGGAGAACTGCCGCCATGCCGCATTCAGAGTATCTCAACGCAAAGTAACAGACCCGAGGCGAGGTCCTCGGTCTGCTCTCGGAAGCAACTGCCAGCCCCTCTCGATCCGAGAACATTCCAGAATATATCCTTCTCCCTTCGTCCAGTGGACACTGACATTGCGAAAAAAATTGTTGTAGAAATTAATTCGGAGCTATAACTCTATCTTGAACCGATATACTTACTTGGCATTTTGGAGTACATTACAGTATCAATTTTCTAAGTTTTCAACCTGATCTCTATTATAATGTATCTATGTATACATGTAATTTAATCTCAACCTAATGGTCATTGTAACGCATTTATGTATATGAATTTTAATAGCCATAAAATTCTACTTATTGCTACTAATCTGCAATTGCTATAATTATTAAGTGCACTTGCAACCTGTTAGAAGAGTATCATACGTAAAAGTTATCATACGTAAAGAACGAAAGAGTAATGATACGTAAAATTGAATTGCTATTAAAATTCATATACATAGATGCAGTACAATGACCATTAGGTTGAGATTAAATTACATGTATACATAAATACATTATAATAGAGATCAGCTTGGAAACTCAGAAGGTTGGTCTTCTCAGTACTTTAACGTATTCCAAAATGGGAATAAGTTAGAACAAATATACACGAATATACCTGACTACTTTCGTCCTAAAAAGTAGAACTATGCTAGTCCTTTGGAAAGAGACCAATAAATACAACAATTACAATTCAAATATTCTGTAATATTCTGTAATATTCTGCAGTCAAGTGGATCTGATAAACGTATTTAATCAGTATTCGAGAACGCACAATTTTACATGTATCCCAAACTATCAGAGTCACAAAAGCAAATAAATAGTAATGTCACTAGCAAGAAAGAAAAATTGAACCTTGTCGATCTCTCTTATACTATTAACTGATCTCTATCAATTCTCAAAAGCTGAAATACCACAAGTCAAAATAATCCTGAAAATTGTCTTTAGCCGACTCGGATTAATTTGAAACCGGCCAGAATTGATTACACGATAGTTATTAAACAACCGAGGAACAAAGTTTGCATTTGTCCACGCATCACTACTCTCCAGATTTGCTAACTTTCTTTAGTCGTCTGCTTTGTACTGACTGCACGTTCTTCCCGCCTAAGCACTCATTGGTCCCAGCCAGCGTTACATCACAGACGACTGAGATTTATGTGTTGTAGAAAAGTGAAAATGAAAATTCATTATCGTTAACGTTTCGAAAGGTCACAATTTGCTATACGTCGCACTTTACATAGTTCTTGTTTAGTAAAAGAAAACCCGTATGTATAGACACCTTCCTTGCAGAAATACAAATAGGTGCATTAGAATTTGTTAAATATTATGCGATAACGGTGGATATTATTTCATATATCCTGTTTGACATAAGAATGATAAGAGACAAGTTTGAGGTTCTAGCAATAAAATCGTGGATACGCGGCCTATGACTTTTAAACGGAAAGGAAGTATAATCATATTCAGTCTGGAGAATAAATAGGTATTTATATTAAAATCAACATGATTCAGGATGATGCTTTTACAACGGTAGGACCGCGCACAATGGTAGCTCGAACAACCATAGTCATATCTGTTATCTGTACATTATTTTAAATCTTTTTTTGAAAATTCATCTTCATAACGAAACGGTACAGAGTAATTTCGTTTATACCAGGCATATTAATTATACAAATTGAAATGTCAAAATTAATATATCAATTTGCATTAAGTTTGATGAATCCTGAAATTACAGTATTTAAAAATTAAAGATGAGCTTAACATAGCAGTAGACTATAAATCAGATTGATGTGTACAAAATAATAATTTATATAATACTGAGTTTCCAGAAGGGAGCGAAAAAAAGCAAGCATTTGTTTAATAATAGAAAAAGAAAAAAAATAATTTAATTTATTATTTTGTACACAGATAAATTTACCAAAAATAAAGTCGAAACCTATACGTCGATAATGTTTATGAATGTTTGTTCGAACTGTGTGTACGAATGTACACACGAATACTTTCTACACCCACTGTATGTATTTTCAGAATTACGTCACTCTTATAGCAATCGTTCGAGACACGTATAGGTAAGAACTATTTTTATATAGAAAATTTCAGACCGAAATTGTGGTGTAATTTGCGAGGAGAGACAAGAAGAAACGGGTACGCGAAATGTTGGTTCGGATGTTTATGTGCGCACGAGGGAAGAACAGCTCGTTTCCTGGAAAGCGGGGTTGGGCACCTGTCCCTCAGGGATTGCCAACTTTAACGCGCGCGCTTATCGACAATATCGAAATTGAGCACCACTGTGACATAACCACGTGTATCCGAGAGTAGCACGCAAGGCGTTACAATTATGATGAAAATAAAACACGTAACCACTTTCCGTTTAGTCGTCAACAGTAAAAACACGAATTTCAAAGGTGAAACAACATTTTTCATTTCCACGCCAATGACAATGTTCCCCTGTACTTAAAATGTCCGCCCATGTAACGAACGTCAAATGGAGGGAAAACCTGCTAAGCTGTAGAATTATTTTGTTATGGTACGTACGCAAAATAAATATGTCAATTTTATTGGGAATAACGAACAAACGGAGTAGATAATAAATTAACGTTGATCAAAAGACCTCTGCAGAAAACTGAACACGTAAACAGAAATGTTAGCATTCTCGTTCTGACATTGCATCGAGCACGAAAGAAAATTTTTCGAAGCGGAATGGAACGACGAGGAACGCGGACCGACTGAAATGGTCAATATTTTCGAGACAGATAGTAATCGAAGGCAAGCACGACGATGTCCGAAATCGGTTCGGAATACCAATTGCACAGGACGAAATCGTTCAATAATCTTTCGACGCGTTGACCTCGAACAGCCTATACGACATTTAACGGAGAAAATATTCAAAGGAGACGCCGAACGTCAGTTAACGTTTTGGAGTCCAACGCGCCGGCGCTCGGCGTTGTTTCGTGACCTGTTGCCTAGCAGCGACATGTGGCGAACAACGACTTCAAACCGACTCTCGGAAAGACAGAGACTCCGACAAGGTATGCCCGTGGAAAAAAAATGGATGATCAGACTTACCGGATACTGCGGGCAGGGTCGCAAGCACGAGCAGGGGCAAGAGGAGAAACGCCATCGATGCGTAATCCAATTTTCGGCGTGGCAACAACATGATGCCGTGAATTTTATCCACACACATCGGGTAGACACACACTCATCGGGGCCCGGGCGCACACACTAGACAGAACCAACACTTCGGTGCACTTCAGTGTAAGATCCGCGTACCGTCACTTGACCACGCACATCGTCCGAAATCTATGTCACCTCCGACACCGTCCAGTAAAAGTGTATACACGTTCACGCGAGCTAGCACGAGAAAAAAACATGCGGCAACCGTATACGAACACGACCGCGTCCGAAACACTTCTGGTATCCCTATTGTTCGCTTAACGCGCTGAAAGTAGTTCCCCAGTGCGCGCGCACCTGCCTCCAAGGGCTGTATCACTACGCCACCATGGGATGGCGGACCGTGAGAGCCAATAGGAAATCAGCTACATAAGAAAGGGACCGTCGCGCGCATCTACTTTTCTCTTGGCGACAGAATCTTTTGAACGAAGAATTTAAACGTTTTACCGCCAATTTACGAATTGAATAATCGAATGGCTTTTTATTTGTTACTGTTGAGGGAATCGTTTTAAATAAAAATTAATGTACGGTTATTCACAAAGTTATTAACACGGGTAAAAGTTGATTATTAATAGGCAGAATAAAAGGATAATATGTAAAAGAACTTTAATAATTTGCTTCTTCAACTGAGTTTTAATCAAATATTAGGTTGTCCCGAAAGTCCCCAATTATTTTATGTGGTCGTGTTTATATAAATAGACAATCGAACTTCATAAATATTTATGTTGTAACAGTAATGGAGCAAAATGAATCGTGCACAATTCGGTAAGGTAACATAAAACATAAATTATTGTGCATGTATTACTTAGTAATAAAGCGAAAGAAACTTTTGGGACAACCTAATAGAAGGGGAAGTATAGTTCTTAGTCAAAATTTGATAATTTTCGTTTTTCTTTTTGCATTTCTTGACGTTCTGGGATACAAAAAGTAGTTAACGAATTTCTGTATGTATGGATATCTCTATGTATGTACAGTGGGTGTAGAAAGTATTCGTACACCGATCAATTTCCAACAAAATTATGTAAAATTGTAATTTATTAACTTATTTTTTAAAAACAATGAACTTCTACATATTCTCGGAAAACTCTAGAATAAATAGAGTACAACAAAAATAGCTATTTATGTACGTTACGAAATTAACAAATAAAAAAAAAATTAATCGATAGAAATGTTGAAGCAATAAGTATTCGCACAACTGTTTACTTTTTAAAAATTCATTAAAAAAAAAAAGAAATTTACATTAATTTACAAGTATAAATAATACTTCCTTCGTGGGATTTCCTTTTGATTTTATAATTATTGCAACTCTTCTAAGCGTTAAGTTAACTAAATTATTAGTTATTTAGTTAGTTAAGTGCTTTCCTGGAAATTTGATGTTTTCTAATTCGTACGAAGCAATAAACTAATCGAATTGTTACCAGTGTCAATAATTTTATTATTCACTGTGCTAACCTTACTGGTTACCACATTCTACAAGATCAATACTTTAATTGTACATCAATTATGCATGCGTTACAATTGCTTTCATTGTAACGAACGCTGTAGATACCTTTAATTAATTCCCATTTCACTGTAATCTGCTGTGTGTGAACCAAGTATCCAGCAGTAGCGGTTGCATCACTATTAAAGTTGTTAGTTAAGTCATATGCACGCGTAACACCTCCCAACGATAGGGCCGATTTCGAAGCAGTAGACCGTTAATTCTTTCACATACAAACTGATAACGTATACGCTCGCATTTAATAATAATATCAAAGCAGAATCGTGTAGGACAAACTACAGAAACAAGGCTCTAAGTAATGCATAAATTGCGACGTATTTTCAGATTCGTATGAATGGTACAAGGAAGACTACAGTTAATATTGGCCCGAGAATAGATTTCTAAATGTTTCAAGTAACGACGAGATCTTTTCATGCAAAGGACACATCTTATAACCGGAACCCTCGGTTAGTATCAACCATGAAGAATCGGGCCATAAGAGTCTCAAATGTTTTATAATAAAATTAATTTAAATGAAGATTTATATTAAGAACATTTTTCTTAAAATGTAAACAAATGTAGAGTATTAAAATATAATGTTTCAATATATTAATTTGTGTATGAAATCCTTTCTTGTCAACTATAAAAAGTTCTTCAAATATTCCCAAACTCGTTTGAAGTTGCTGATTCGCCCTAGCACAATATCGTCACTCGCAATTGGTTAATACGTACAAATCGAGCTTCTAGCGTATTTTTTTGCTAATTCGAGCGACAAATGTAAGTTGAATCTTCGTCGAACTGAAATCTAACGCCGTGGCGCGTGACGGAACGCACTGGATTGTGGTCGGTTATAAAGTGCCAAGACGCCGATGCGTATGAGCATCGTCGAGCACTGGCGGAGCATGTCTGATCATTAATTAACCTTCCAGCGGTTGATTGCGTGTAACGCGAAATTCATCGCCAGTATAGCTGCCGCCAGGCGCGGCTGCTGCCTTAACGAATACAAATGCGGAATTATAATTCGGTGCCCTCTCTTAAGTCCATTCAACAAGACGAAGCCTTACGAATTGCTTTCCCTTTTGTGTCCCCCAGCAAACGTGATACGCGCACGGAACTGTAAACGCTCGCCAGTCGTTAGTTTTTATTAATGAAACTGTTAACCCTATCATCGAACCGAGAACGTCTGCGAGTTATGCGTTTCCGCGCAAAGTATTAACGCTACGAGGAAAGGCCGCGTTTTATTTTACCGACTCGATAGAAATCTGGCTTCTATATCAGAAGGAACATTTTCTTAATGTTTCGTAGACTCGAGTTAACACTTAACCAGCTGGTGTATCAGTATTTTTTAACAATATTTAATATGACTACTCTTCACAGACCCTGATTGTAGACTTTTTCTTTAATTCGAGTATTTATTTATATTTATACTATTGAAATATAGCGGAAATATACATTTTCGCGAGAATAAAATGAACGATGAACAAAAACTATTCTTACTGTAATTTATTATTACTGGAAATAAAAAAACTCTAAAACGAGGTATTCAATATTTTTCTAATGTGGTTGTAGCATTCGAAACATAAGCCTTTATGAATGTGAATATGATCCTTCTTAAGAATCTTTTATTTTCGTTTTATGATGGCTACAACTGTCGATGATTAACGTAGAAATTTAATCTATAACTAAGTCAGAACGGGTATTTTTACTTGACCAGTCGGTTAAATGTTAAATAAAAATGAGATTTTGCTCAGGAGAAGCAAGAAATATTTTTCAAAATGTGAAAGATCCTATAATTTGGATATTAAAAGCAAATTAAATGTTTATGACTTCCATGGTCCTGTTCTTCATGATTAATACTAACTAATATAATATCAATGTGTCATTTGACTCCTAAAGAAGCAAGGTGAAATGCTGGAATCCAAAAAACACGATTTAACTCTAGAAGACTCGTTTAGTATTGACCAAAAACAAATTAGTTTACGAAAGAGAAAAGTATTAGATACAGTCAATGCAACAGGATTTTTTAATATGGATTTCCTGTTTATGAGATATTCTAATTCATTTTCCTTTACACTGAAATGGACATCTATCAAAGTATAAAATGTGATTTGTTTCTAATTGTAAGACGTGAAATAAATGCGAAGCTATCCTCCTTAGCGAAATATACCTAAAAACCACACGAGAAGTACAGAACTGGAAATAATGATAAATATCTATTTGTACCATTTGATGTTCTTTTCTTGTTGTAAACTCGCAAGATGCAGATGATGCATTTGCGCATGACTCCAATCGTTGGAGCATGCAAAGGATCGACTCCTACATAATATTGTCGCCAGGACAACGCGAAGCGTTGTTAAGTCGATGAGGTCCACGTGGCACCTTAGGCACCTCTACACCATGTCCGACCCGCTAGCACCTACCGTGGAAGACAAGTTGAACGATCTGAATAAGAAAATTGCAGAGATCAAAAAGAAGATTCAGCTATCAGGTACAGTCGTGGATTAAACGATACCACGAAAAGTAATAAAGCTGTAATCAGTTTGCTTAATCATAGTTTAATATTCGTATATATATTTCCTACGCTGCTGTGCAAAGGGTTCGGTCTCGAAAAAAGAAAAAAATTCGCTAGCATTTATTTCCCAAGCGAGTTCCTGATTACACGCGAAGATACATAAGAACACGTTTAACCGGAAAGACTAGAACTCAGAAAGAAATGATCGTGTCACATAAGTGGTTCTCTTAAAAAAAAAGAAAATTGTTCACAAGGTTATCGATACGCTGCTATCAAAACGTTAATTATAAAATTGATATCCAGTAAGCATTTCTATTATACATAGTCGAACGAGTCGGTTTGTAGTTTATAATCTTAAGCGAAGAATTAATACTTCCTACTCGAAAGTGATTTATGGTGTTCCTCGATCGAGTCATTTTTATCTAAATACTATAATACATATTGCTACGTTTCATTTATTAAATAGTGTTTAATTTGCCAATTATACTTGGTAACGGAGTGACTTTAATCTACGTGGTTTAAACGGTTAAAAAATGTAAAATTGCTTCTCGTGTTAAAATTCCAATACCTACAGCGAATCCTACATCATAGTGGTCTCGCTGGGTTAATCGAGCTATTCACTTAGGATCATGAGATACCATGATCATTTCTGTGTGCTCTATCTCGAAATAACCTGAAATGGCAAGCGGCAACCTGGTATTAACAAATTTCAATTTAAGCAATTTGGGCATTTTAGTTTTTTCAGGCTATGCAAAATAGGATGAATCATGACTACGATGGCTCGATCCATTGGAACCATAAGCGCAGTCACGACTTTCGTTTGATTTTGCCCTTCGGCAACTATTATAGAAACGTTTTTCTCTTGTTTTATAGCTTAACTATCGCTCCGTTATCTGCACGTACAGTTAAGAAAAATGAAAAGACGATTAAAACCGGATTGACTTGGGAATTTATTCTACGAGAAAGCGTAGCGGGACATAATCGCCGAGGTGATACATTATTTTAGACTTTTCTGCCTCGGGCGAGAGACTTTCTTCTTCTCAATCCGTCGAACATCTTTTTCATCAGTTTGTTCAAGCGTTCGATGAATAAAGTTGTACCTCGCTAAGAAACGACATTCCTTGTCTACGTAAATTCCATATAAAGTAGATAGAAGTATTTTATTTGATGAGACATCTCCAACGAGATTCAGTTACAAATATAGTTGTTACATAAAGTTACCATTCTTGGATCATAAGAAAAGTCTGGACAAGACATTAAACAGAAATATGATCCAGGAGAATCAGAGAAAATTTGTACAATTTTTTGTATACGTTGAATGTAGGAGATGCTCGATGAAACAAACAATTTTTTGAATATAATTTGCATCAATATAAATATAAAATTTTAACTGAATTACTAGAATCTTCAAATAACATTATCTCAAGATTAAAATTGAGTCGCAATCAGCGAGTAAATAAATATTCAACAATACTAGTAAATCATTTTTAATGAATATTTTCCCTCGTTATCAATTTCAGTTATTTCAAAAAATTGTACGATTAGTAACCCTATTGTTGCGCAAGATACATGTTAACAACGAAACACGTATTTGTTGTTTACAGAGGGTCAAAGAAAAGCGAATTTCGAAGAGTACGAAGCTACGAGACATGAACAAGCGGAGAAAATCGCAGCTCTCAAGCAAAGCGTCAAGGAGTTGTACATGGAATACGCGAAAACGAAAAACGTAATTGAAAATTCCGTAAATGATTATTCTTAAAATGCAAATCCAATTCAAAACCAAAATATAATTTATAGACATTTGTTTGTCTTTTTATTAAACGTTTCTATCGCATGTTCAGCTTTTTCGGTAAATATTGTACTAATCTATAAAAATTATCAAAATTAAGCAAGAATAATACCGATGAGGTAAAAAAAGAATAAATTAATTTCTTTCATGAAAGATAGATGAATCGTTAGAAAAATAAGATGTTCAAGCGAAGAGATACGTAATTAAGCGATCAACAAATTCGACTTTCTGAAAAGAACTAAACGAAAGCTCGAAAACGTGCTTGCTAGCGAGAAATAAAATTTTGCACGATACATTTCAGAACGAGGGAAAACCTGAGAACAGAATTCACATGAGTCGCGAGTCCTCGGCTTCTGGGAAAAGACGTAATTTAAGCGAGACAATTGCTAAAGCGCAGGAGGACAATGTACGCTTAAGAAAGAAGCACGATCTAATTAAGTATCAGCGCGAGAAGGTAAGCAACTAGATGCCAATCAGTTGAAGAATAATCTGCGCAAACTGTCTTCGAGCACAAATATTTTCCTTAGCGACAGCAGAAATTAAGATCGCTGCTGGAAGAATATAGCCAATTAGTGAATAATAAAGCGCAGAAAGTGTTCAAGAAGAAGATGGAAATCCCGATGAGAAATGTGAGTTGAAACAATGAGGGAACTATCGTTGCGGATGTCTGTTACCACTTGAATCAGCATCAGCAGTTCGAAGAAGGAAACACAGACAAAAACTCGGGAATTGAAGCTTTGTCTTATTTATCACGAAAATAAAATTAAATCAATCCCTAAACGAGAGAAATCTTGTAATTAAACATTTTATCAGTTCGAAGAAAGAAACAAATCCCTCGTTATATGTTTATTATAGAACAAAGAATACTATGTATATCCAAGGCATCTAATATTTATTAAGAATTTTGTTTTAATCTAATGGAAAATAATTCAACAATAAGTTGCGCAATTTTTCTTTGAATTTTCCAAAGCAATGGTTTTCAAGTTTATTTTCTTTTTTTTTTTAACTATCGATTCAATGATGCTTGGACTTTGGCAGAAAATCGTGAAGCTAGAGGTACGCCTGGAACACATCAGAATGATGCAAATCAAAGCAAACTTAACACGGATGAAGTATCGATCCACGCGTGCGGATTTGAAAGAAAAGTCTGTGCTTTACGCGTCTTCCTTGAAGAGCCTGGAGGATGAAATAAGGGAGCAAGAGAACGAAGTAAAACGTCTCCAGGCAAGGCACGAAGTTTATCGTCAAACTTTACTTTTAAACGTGTCTAGTGGAACAGAGCAAAAATAATATGCTTCTGTGCAGAGAGCGAGGGAAGAAGCTATTCAGTTGAGAGATAACTCTCAAGAAACACTGATCAAAGAAGAAATCGAAGTCACGAACTGCAGCAAAGAGCGAAACGCTGTGCTCGAGGACTACAGGTTCGAATCAACGATTGCCTTTTATTTGCTAATTGTAGTATTAGCAATACGTTTATTTTTACTTACGTACATTGTTGGCTCTGAAAGTAGGGTCGAAGCCAATGTTTCCGATTTTGCAGCATTTTTCATTACTCCAGAAATGAAGCATCAAAATGGGATCTCTCAATACATCTTAGGGAACTGAAAAATATTGCAAAATAATTTTTTGTAGAATAATGTTGATAATATTTTAATAGAAGAAAATATAATTAATATATTAAGAAAATTTTAAAAACTGGCTCTTTTTTAAATAAGGAAACAAACAGCTGATACAGTAAATGGATAAAATCTGAAATAGAGACTCTCTTCTGATGATATATCTTCTGGTGCAATGGTGCAAGTGTAATATGCACTTGTGCTTGTTATTTCAAACCGTGTATTTTTATTCATAATCAAGACAATTGTGTTAAAAATATTTTTCTCTTAGTAAATAGAAACTAAATTATAAATTGAACATTCTTGTGATTGATAAAGAATAACCTGAGAATTTGAGAAATAGATTGAATTATGTTATTCTGAAGGTGACCACAAACAGATGGTCGAAAATGTTAATTACTCTATTAATTTGTTACCATTATATCGTTTTCTGTTTCCCATTTTTCTATCAATATTACTCTTTTCTGGTATTTCTCCCCAACCTAAATTAAATTCTATCACGATTAGGCAACGCGTATCGGAACGGAAAATGGAACTCGAGCGATTGGAAAAGATGATATTCCACTCGCGTCCGCGAGATGATTTCGACACACGTGGGAAAAATCGTGTGCAGACCACAGAGGACATTACCAAGGACGAGGTGACAAGACTCGAGGAGGCGTTCGCCAAGCTGCGCAGCGCCATCGGAGTGTCTAGGTCCGAGGACGTTCTGAACCGGTTTCTGGGTCAGCGGGCGACCAAGGATAATCTGCAGAAAATGCGGGTGGCCACCGAGCAGGAGAAAATGACCTTAGAAAAGCAGAGGCAGGAATATGTCGCTGAGATGGAGACCAGAAAGTTCTCTGAAACGAAGAACGCGGAACAGTGAGTCCTTCCTTTCTTCCTTCCTTCCTTCTTTCCTTCCTTCTTTCCTTCCTTCCTTCCTTCCTTTCTTCCTTCCTTCCTTCCTACAGTTTCCAAGGATATTCTTATGTTTCTTACGTTTATGTTGACTGTAACGCGTTCCAGAAATGCGGAACAAGTAGAAAATCTCAACAGTCGAATCAACGAGCAGCGTTCGCGCCAATCGAAAGCAGAAGAGAAACATCGGAGGGTCGAAGATCTTTTGCAAGAAATAACTATGTCGTTGTGGAACTTGTGCAATAAATTCCGGGTGAGCTGTCAAAAACTATGCAAATTATACGTTTTGTTCGTCAAAAAAACCTGAGTTAATTCCGCTTTACTGAAAAATTAATGTGTAGTTTTTGTCGCAGCAAAGGTTTTCAATTAACGTGGGCGTGGGTTCGTTCGATAAACCGAAAAGATGTCGCGGGGAATTAACACTTCACAAGGCAAACCGACCACAAAATCGAGTCCCATCGGAGCTACTAGTAGTGTGTTAAAATGGCCGATGGAAATACCGTGTAAATTCCTAATTAAATTAGTGAAGCCGCCTTCGATGGTGGTTACAGTAATGGAACCACTACGAGTTTTCGTACCTATCATATTGTCTCTGGCAGTTTAACACCCCAGACGTGCAACCTATTCGTTGGTCATCCACCAATGGATTTTCTTCGACAATCTCTACCTGCGATTCTCACCTGAGGAAGCCGCTGTCCTACGCATTAACACCTTCCGACCTGATCGAAAGTAAACACTTCCGTGGCACGTCGAACACCGAGAATACCAATTATTGATTCAATCGATCCCTAGAATCCGTGCGTGTAACCCTGACTCGTTAACTCGCTTTCCAATCCTCTATTTCCTCTTTCACTTCGCTGCTGGGTGTGTATAAACATTCTAGATGGGATGGAATCCTATTGTATAAAAAACCACAGAGAGTACAAACATCGAAAAGGTTTTCTTCGAAAATGAATAAAACTTTGATTCTCGTTCTCTTAATTTAATTAGGAATTACACGTATACACGTTGATGCATACAGTGTGGACGAAGTTAGTACAAATTCTAACAACAATACTAGTTTAAAGAAAGATGTCAAAGGAAGAAGATGAATGATTTAAAGTGTACTAATATTTGCAAAACTACATATTTTTATAAATGCAACGATGCATGTGCGTTCGATAATTGCATTCGTAGAATAATATCCGTAGTCTAACTACAACATGTTATGAAGAAGTTTTATAATTATATATTATAAAAAATGGACTCTATTAACAATACAATATTCTATTAAATTGTTGGAACTACTTGTATTATATTTCATTACAACATTTGAAGACTTTTATAAGTGAATCCCGGTAAATTAATTTTCAGGATATACTTGACACGCTGCCTGAAGATCAAAAGGAAATCCAAAATCCTTTACAACTCATAGAATTAGTGAACGAGAAAGTGAACGTCGCGATTGAAACTCTAGGCGGCCCGGATAAGTATCTCGAAATTTTGAACGAAGCAATAATTGATAAGGTAAATTTCAAAGTACATGTTGTTTCGTTTAACTCGGAATGTTTAATTATCTATTGAGGGAATAAAGTTATCAAGAAAGTGTTTTTGAAAAAGTTATCTTGGACAAGAAAAAACGTTATATACAGGGTATCCCATGTAACACTTTTCACAATTTTTCAAGTACTTGCGGTAATTTGACAAAAAAGTATTTTAAACAAATCACTTTTCGTTTGACTATACATTGCAATAAAAAAAAGTCCGAAATAAATTTGTTTTTTTAGTATCATTAAGGTTACTTGCATTTTTTTAAATGGGAGTTTACATTTTTGACTTAACAGTATTATAGTTCGTGTCAAGACGAATTCAACGACTTAGTGTACCATGACCGTGGGATGACCTTGAAGCCAAAGAATGAAAATTTCCAAAAAAATGACAACCTACTTGAATGAAAACTAGAATACCCCCTTTAAACGAAATACCTTGTACACTATCACATCATTTATTTAACGTAATTATAATAATGCCTGTTGAACTGCATACATATATGTATAATCCTAATTTATGTACACAATTTCATAGTGTACTATTAGACTGCGGACCTTTATGCAAAATAAAATCTTGGCAAACGTACCTACAAAAATTCAACCTAAATAGGAATTCATTTTACTCTGCAAATATTATAATATGAACTTTACCCTCAATATTTTTTATGTTCTTGCATACTGTGTGCATTTTGTAGTTTCTTGCACATTCAAATTCCTTATAAATGCATAAAAATCCGCAGTCTATGTATTATGAATTAGTTTATTTACAAATACAAGTAAATATGGCACACCCTCATGTATATGTACATATGTGCTCTATTGTCATTTTCATGTTGTTTCTATTGCAATCCTAAAGGAACACTTACATTTTGTAGTACACCTATTTATCGTTGTCCATTATTTAATCATTTATCACACACATTAAAAAATACGTAAAAATTTGTTTAGTTGGAAACAGTGTCGATTGCAACTACATCGGTAGAAGGAAAAGCAATACGTACAAATGGCGGACAACTTTTCCCGCGATTTCCATTATCAGCGATACCGGCTGCCGTTCCATCCGAAGACGAGGAGGATGTTCCAACCAGAAATGTTCTCAAGAAACAGGCACAGCAACTGTTCGACATAAAAAGCCGTCGTAAAGGATTTACCTTTAGAAGATGAATTTCCTGTTTAAGAAATAAATTCGAACGGTCCTATGTAAATTAAGGTTATATTATAAAATAGCCTTATTAACTACAAGGCTAATCATTAACTAAATATTAGCTAGTGCTCTTTCACCCTGCTTCGATATAAACAATGTTTTCGTATTTATAGTTTGTTTCTACCTTTAATATTGTGACTAAAGTCGTCAAATAAATGAAGTAAGATGTGAGCATCATAAACATATAGTAAAATATTTCTCTTTCGCAACATAGTGTCAACAGGCTGCACACTTATCTGGTAATCTTGACATTGATAAGGATCATTTTTTGACTTCATGTTTACCAAGTAAGCAAGAAGTGGTATGGGGGAGAGCCCATAATCATTGACACTAATGTTGTACAACACTGGTTTAAATAGTAAGTAGTATTCGATAAATTCAAAATACTTTTAACGTTTAATAACCACACAATACTCGTATAAACTCTTACTTTTATGTGTTATATAATTTTAAATAATCTTTCAACTAGGATACTCACAAATTCCTTGGAACAATTGAATGTCACGCACAGCTTACTGCATTGTCATGATATCTACCGTTTTTATTACGAACTAATACGCCAGCAGACTGCATTGTCATGACATCTACCGTTTTTATTACGAACTAATACGCCAGCAGACTGCATTGTCGCGCCATCTGTAACTGTTTTCAGAAACTTAGTAAGGAACTACTTGTTTTAGGCGGGATGTAGGTAATACGACCCACAGGTCCATGATAACACTGAATTTTACTGTTGAATGGCTAATAATTCGGCAATCGAGTATAACCACTTATAATATTATAGGTAATTATAAAAGTGATATCATTTTTATTTGAGACCGAACAAAAATTCGTCATGACGTGACATCTAATCTTCACATCCGGAGTTACTAGATGCTGCTAAACTTACGTACATGCGGTAAATTTGCGTCCACGTGATATATGTGATGTATGTGATGTATGTATTTACTGTTTTGTTTTAATTTTAAGTAACGTACAAAAATGGGTCAAAAACGTAAGAATCGTAATGAAAAAGATGATTTTGAATACGATCCACATCCTAAACATCTTCAAGTAGCTCACATAAAAAATCAAGAAAAGCGTTTGATTATTATTCTGGAAAAAGCACAATTGGAGTCTGTCAAAGTATGGTTATGTTTTAATATTAAACTTAAAAATAAACTTCTATTCGTTATATTTGTCTCACACAATTTTACTTTATCTTCTATATAATGATCTTACTACTGATGCAATTATTCTAATCTATACATTCTTAATTAAAAAATATATTTAATACTTAACATTAAATTTTATATGTATTTCCAATAAATATAAACAAAGATTCTTTTTATTATTTTACACTACTATCTATACTTGAATATGCTTAATGAAAAATAAAATGTTTTTGTGGTCATAAATAATTGTATAATTGTAGTTTTCAACTTTTATTTATGTGTTGTCTGTCTCTAGGTTGGAAACAGTTTTGAATTATTAAACTGCGATGATCATGCAAGCATTCTAAAGAAAAATAACCGTGAACCTGGTTCGTGCAGACCAGATATTGCTCATCAATGTTTATTAATGTTAATGGATAGTCCATTGAACAGAGCTGGACTTTTACAAGTATATATTCATACAGAGAAGAATGTATTGATTGAAGTAAATCCTCAAACAAGGATACCAAGAACATTTAAGCGTTTTGCAGGTCTTATGGGTAAGAAAAAGTAATACAGCAGATACATTCATGTACATACAAGGAACTAAGTAATCTGTATATTGGTTGTTATGGAATAGTTTGCTTTTACGATAATTAAAAGCAATGATTTTTAAAGAGCATTTATTTCGTTTTAATTATTAATGTATTCATTCATAAAGCAATGATTTTTAATATTTTCAATATTCTCATTGAATTGTAATACATCAAATTGATTCGTTTAGTTTTTTTTAACATTTATATAGACAGTTTCTATCTTGTACAGTGCAATTGTTACACAAATACAGCGTCCGTGCATCCGATGGACCAATGAAACTGTTAAAAGTTATTAAAAATCCAGTCACAAATCATTTACCTGTTGGTTGTCGTAAGATAACAATGTCATTCAGTGGAAACAAAGTACTGAAACCACGAGAATTAGTACCTTCCGAAGAACCAATTGCCATTGTGGTAGGTGCAATGGCACATGGACAAGTAAGTTTTGTATAAGTATATTATATTTTCATATTATATAAATTTGCTATGTAATTAAACTCATTTCTGTTATCTTGCCTCAAATTGTAGGTACAAACGGACTATACGGAAGACACTATATCGATTAGTAATTATCCATTATCTGGAGCTTTAACATGTAGTAAACTATGTACTGCATTCGAAGAAGTTTGGGGAATAGTTTAAATATCACATCGACTACTATTTTTGTATAAAACAAAGTTTGTTAAATATAAAATAAAAGGAGAAAGAAAAATGAAATAATACTTGTAAATTTAAATGAAAATTTGATCAAATAGTTTTTTGAGTAAATTATTATTATACCATGATACTCTATTGTACGCTCTCATTCGTTAAGTATTTAATAAGTATTTACATGAATCTTTCATTCATGTATGTTACATATGATGTATAGAGAAAGAGATGAAACCACAGTTGCGCAATTCGCAGTGGAAAATCCTAAACATAATGACTCATCAATATTGGGTTTCAAACGATTGGTCCGCATTAAAGACACGGAAAGCATCTACCAATCACTGTTCAGAACGCGACAAATTTTATGGAGACCGGAAGGATGCTATCGCTTGTGCGCTATCGAGTCCTCGATAACTAGTTTCCATTTTGACTTTCGTATTCCCTTACGTCATCAACGCAAAAATGGTGGTTAATGTCAAGTATTTGGTACGGTCTGTTATCTTAACGTAATTTGTTTCTTAAGGGTTATACGATGTTGTTTTTTCAAATTTGGAAACTATTACTGTTTCTGTGACTCGAAATCTGCCTTCTGAGTGACCTTTGTTAAAAATGTGAAGCATTAAAAAGTGATTCTACTATCGTCGAAAAGACGCCATTTTGTGATTCAGGCCATTGTTGTTTACGTCAATGTATACGATAGCAAATCCTTATGGATTCCAATTTAAATTGTAAAAGTAATATCATTATATTGTGTTTTTTTCGCGATACAACTATGAGTGACTCGAGTGATAAATTATAAATTATGAAATTGACTACCGTAGTCAATGTCACGAGTGTAGTATCTTCTGATGCGTCAGCATTTACTTTGTGACATTAATAGGATTTCATACGTTAATCGGATCATTTACACGAATGTGTTCCTGCTGATATTTGTGAAATTTAATTATTTTGCATTCCCAAATTGTAATTTGTCAGAAATGACGTTATAAAATACAGGTCAATTATTCGTGTTTCGCCATATTGGACGTGTAACGGAACTTGCTATGGTGATGACACATACACGTCATGCCATAGTATCGTTCAACTCGCGCGCAAAGTTCACCACGTGTTCCTTACGTTTATAATTATTATGTTATTTACGATATTATTTGAAGAATTTATGCTCTAATGGTGGAAACACAATGTAATTATAAATTTTGTCTGTATCCCAAAATGCATTGTAGAGATAGTTGCAGAATCGCGGAATTGGACCGAGACTTGCGCGGTGATTAATAAATTTTAACCTTATATTTCAAAGAAGAAAATTAATAACTACTTATATTCGTAAAACTTATTTTACTTCTTACCAAATTACTGGTGATTAATATTTACGTTTAACTGTCTGTTATTTCAGTGATCATAAAAATGCATTATGGGTGGACATGGAACGATGGAAATTAACCATTAATTTTTCTATTGGTTAATAAAGCATAATCTAGATTTATAAATAATAAAGTTTAATTATTACATACCCTGTTACCTACATCCTTAATATTTATTCCACTATTATCATATATATCAATGAAGAAACAATAAGTTTCGAAGACAATAATTTATTCACAAATTAACGGTCGAGATTGCGTACTTCAAAAATGATCGAGTCAAACTTACATTGGAAAAGGTAATATTTTGAAATTATTAATTATAACGTTGACAAATATTTGAATAATTAAAGAAAAGGGATTGTGTTGGTTACACGCAAGAGCTTTTTGGACAGTTTATATGTATAATGTACTTGTAATCAATGAAAATTTTGAAAGGTCCGTTAATCTGTTTCAAAATTGGCGCGCTCCGGTACGGGTTAGTTCGGTAAATTTCGCATTGGCGGAGTTGCGAAGGGAACGAACAGACAGGTCGTGTTCGAGGAACAACGGAACAGGACCATTCTGTACGTCGCGGAAGAATGCGTAGCCATTGTTGGTGCTGCGATCGTTAGTTTCTAGATCCGAGATCGTCATGGGCACGGAAAGCCATCCGATTGTACGAGACTTGAGGAAAATGTCGGTGGAGCTCGGCACGGAGCACTGATACGATATTAGTGCGAGAGATCGACGTCCGCATTCGTAAGTGTGGAACTAGTTGGTCGGGCCGCGTCCGCGTTCGTCGCGTATGCGAACCGAGCGCTCGCAGGAGTGAGAGTGAGTGAGTGAGTGATACGGTGGGGCACACTCGGCGGCGGCCATAACACCGACCAACCAAACTAGCGAGCAGGGAGAAAGCGTAGTTCGGAGTCGAGTGTCCAAGACGTAGTGGTAGTGTTTTTCGAATAGAATTCCTGTGGAAAGTGGACTTCCATTGATCAGGTAAGTGATTACAAGTAATCTTGGACTTTGTGGGTATGTTGATGATAAGTATAGCGCGTGGTGTGTGCCGTGGTGGTGCGTAAGTGGCGGCTGTAGCGGCGGGCCCTTGGGAGCTTTCTTTCCCGAGCGGCCATACCGCCATGTTGAAACCTACTCGAAATCGAGTAACCGAAAAGGCGGTTCTCGGGTATTCCACGCGCGCCAGAATTGCCCGATGTGAGAAACGTTGCGAATTCGGCGCCAGTCAAGCGCTCGACTAGATTCTCACACGGCGGCTTGCTCGTGTTTGTTGTGTGCGTCGGCTGGGTGCATCGGCTGGGCGCGGGTCTGCTACCCTTCCCCTCGCCATCCTCTCCTACTTGTCCTCCTCCTCTTTCCACTCTCGCATCTACCGCGTTTATTTTTCACCCAACGTCTCTCGTGGATCTCTCACCTTTCTCCGTTCCTACTTTTTAAGACTATTTAACCACCAAGCACCTGTTTTACCCGCGAACTTTTTATCTTTGCCCTTGATGCGCGGACCTCTACGAATAGAACGTCTTCCGCGGCATGGATTGTTCTGGCAATGCTCTTCACCTGGTAGAAGCTCTCTTGCTTCCCATGGTCGAAATCTTATGGTCCTCCAGGAGATCGATTTTTTCTCCGTGTATTGTCAATTTTGTGTTTTAATAGTCAGCTCACTTTCTATAACAGTGTACCAGTTATTCGTGCCACTTTTGTAAAACTTTCCATTTTGGCTTACACTGGTCTTGAATGGAACAGGGTATGCACGTTGATTTTTGCACACAATTTTTTAATGTCGTTGTGCGTCACGGTTGGACAGAATTTCATTCATGTAACAGATAACAAATACAAATTTCGTATAGCAGTTTATTTTCAACTTTTATTTCATTGACAAATTATTTAAACAAGCTTTTTATTTGTTCAACATGAAAATTTATTTGATTTTTTCATTAAAATTGTAATTTCAAATGATTAAATAATAGATAAAAAATTGTTCCTTTTATTCCTTATGTTAAATTTGTTATCTAGATGAGAATTATGTCTACCCATGCCATGCGTTAAAAGTGTTGCGCTTTGAATGCATTGTTCCTGACCAATCGTTCTGCCAACCATCCTGTTTCTATTTGTACTGTTTTTGTTGAAAACTGTTTATGTTTTCATTTAACATTATGCTCTAATGATCTTGCAAATGAGTAAAATGTTTAAACATTATAAATTAACTAACCTGGACATATTTCTCCTTCTCCTTCTATTTCTACCCTCACCTTTCCCCTTGCTATTTTAATGACTATTTAACCAATAAGCACCTGTTCGACCCACGAATTCTTTATGTCAATGGACAGAACATCTTTGCAGCATGGAATGTCTTAGCAATGCTCTTCACCTGGTAGAAGCTCTTGCTTCCCATGGTTGAAATCTTATGGTCTTCCATGAGATCAATTTTTACCCCCACATATTGCCAATTTTGTATTTTAGTAGTCAGATTACTTTCTGTACCAGTGTACCAGTTATTTGTGCCACTTTTGTCAAACTTTCCATTTTGGCTTATACCAGTCTTGAGCAGGACAGGGTGTGCACGTCATTTCTTAAATATATAATTTTAGATATCACTGTGCATCAAAAGTGATGGACTTTAAATGCACAATTCCTTACCGATTCATTCTGTTTCCTAAACTTCACATATTCGCATACATTATTTATAAATCTTCTTGATATTTTACAGTTTCGTTGTCAGAAACTATTTATTCTTTTCCCATTTAACATCACGCTTAAAAAATCTTGCAAATTAGTAATATATTGAAACATTGTAAATTATTATATTTAGCAGTATATGTTTTCAATTAGTTGCATAAAATCAGATTTGAAATAAGATTTAGGTATATTATGATAGCTGTATATTTCTCAGATTGTTGTATGCCGCTCACAGTCACATAAGATTAGTAATATAATGCTGTATAATAGGCTACAAAATTATAGTTTAGTTGCTTTTGTTACATTTTACATGGTTAATACAAAGATTTGATTCTTTGTTTATGTTTTATATAAAGATTGCATTTTAGAATTATTCAAACACAGATGAGCCTTGAAATCGATACATGCGTTTTATCCTATATCAATAGCAATTTGTAAATTGTAGTTTTTATTTATAAATTTTTTCTAAACAATTTGCTAAAAGGAACAGATTTAAAAGAGCAATTTGAACGTATTACAACTTAGTAGCAGCTATATATTATCACTTTATGTATAGTGAGGTGGAAAAGAAAAACATTGTTATATATGTCAAGCATGTATCTCATAGAATCGGAATTGCATGATATGTTAAATAATTTACACAGATATACATAATTTGAGAATAAATCAATGTTTAACTTGCTCTAAAGCAATAAAACAATTTGGGGTTGTTACAATACGGGGTCCTGTTGTTATGTTATCCAGATGTTGCTAATGTCGCGAGTCTTGGCTGGAGGTACGGAGTCTCACAGCAGTGTACAGGGCTGACATTCAAAGTACTACCATTCGGTAGGCTTGAGTAGTGTTATGCCTCCACGGCACCAATCTCCCTGGTTGCAGCGCAATCGTCTTGGCAAGCAATTAGTGAGCTACCATGCTCAATTCAGAATATATCCTTGCCATCTCAATTGTTGATGAAGCCTCATAGCGTCAAGCATCAACGTAAGGCAGTTACCTGCTGCATAGCATTTATGTACCATATATGTCGGAAAGGTAGGTGAAGCTCATTATCGTGGACTTGATGAGCCTTATATTATAAAATATACCTAGTTATTTCATGAAATGTGTAAGAGAAGCTTGATTGTATCGGTCGGAGTTTGACATCTCTTCTATAGCGAAACCTGCAATTTCAAGAGATGGAAAGAAAGATTATCAATCCCTAAAATAATTAAAGAATATGGTATATTATAAGTTTATATTATGGTGTTAACGAAAAATAGGTTATACATAAGCGATATTTCGTAATGAATTTTATTCGATCGAAAGTGCGATTTAGAACCTTGTGTCGAATGTTATTTTAACTATTTTTGTATCTATTTACGAAGTTTTCTTACATATTTATTTTTTTCTGTTGCAGAAACGAAGCCAAGATGCAGCAGGTGGACGCTATCTCCCAAAATAATTCGGTAAGTAATAGATTTGATTTTATGGTATAACTTCAAGTGCAGCTTGCTTATTAATGTACTAATGCTATACATAAAAGCTGCATCGAATTAAATACATTTCCTTTGTATGATTCCCATGTAGTCGATACACATGTGAAAAAGCATATAGAGACATATTATTACTTTGTTTCTTTATGTTAAATTCTTAACCCTTGAAAACATTCTCTCACTTACTTCTACAGATGTATTATTTTGTAGTATTATGTGTAGTGTCTTTTATTATTTGTAATAAAGTTTTAATTATCTGATATAAATACATGATTTGTATTAAAACTCAACCTTAATATCTTTAAATTAGATACAAAATTTTCAATTAGATATTACTCTCAATGCTGCAATATAATTTATGTTTGCTATCTATTTCTAAACTATTTATACTACAAAAGAAAATCAAACTTCTTAAAACCACTATTGTGTATGTCCTTACTTCTGGTATTATGTTGAGCACAAATCATTTTATGTCATGAAACTGAGCGCTGTTTGATTGAATGGTATGTATGAATTACAGTTAGATGTGGAGGAGCGAGAAAGGCTGTGTAATATACCGAAGGTGAGATTCCTTGTTGAGTTTTGTTTCAACTAGGATATATATATATGCTAAAAATATAAAATGGCAGCTCATAATTTGTATTGAGTGATTTGAAATTTTGCTTCTGTATTTATATAAGATTTTATATAAGCATAATAAATTATTCGGCATAAATTAATTTGCATAAATTAATAATTTTGTTTTTGCATTATTTTTAAAGCAGGATATATTTTGCTCAATGTATTTAATTTTTATTGAATAAAAAATATATGAGATATAGATGTCAAAAACTTGTAAGTCATTTCATGCAATATAAAGTTTAGATGTAATTCCTATAGATTACTTTTACAATTGTCTGTATTTTATTTTGTATATTCTTTTTTTATAATTCTATCTTAATTGCATGACTGTATGAAATGACTTGAGAGTTGCCATTATGTTTCAGTTGGAAATATTTTTGTGATATATATTTTTATTACATACCTAATTAGAGTTCTATTAAAAGAAATTCGAAATTGCTTGCCTGTGGTTATGGAATCTAAATATTTAGCAGCCTAATTTGCTCATTGCATGAGTGGGTTTATCTAATTCTCTAATGCATGAACCTTGTTAAACTTTGAAAATTTATATACCTTAACAAAATTACGATTTATATAGCACTTTTACAAGATAGAAATTACCAACTCTGTTCTGTCCAAACTATTTTATGTTAAAACTGTCAAGAATTACTTTTAACTACTGTTCTCATATATATTAAAATGATCGTTTAATTTAAATCAACAATAAAATATTACAGCATGAATTATGTACTAGAATTATTCATAATTTCTATTTCTGTGCATTGGTTTCATACGAAAGAAGGGCAATGGTCTGACTTTGCTTTGCGATAAGAAATTTTATTTTCAGTTGTGAACTTAATGTTATATAACTGTAGTAATAGAACTAACTAAGAAATTAAAGTTATAACGATACGAAATATATAAATGGAATCTGGATAACGCAGACAAGTGCACCTGGTAAGACATCGACTACAACAGCAGCTCCTGGAAAGGAACCACCACCACGCGATGAACCACCCGTGGAACCGGTGAACGGTGTAGTCCAACCACCTGTTGTGCCACCACCTAATCGCCCAGGGCGTATTACCAATCAACTACAATTTCTCCAAAAGGGTGTCCTTAAGCCAGTATGGAAGCATCAGTTTGCGTGGCCTTTTCAGCAACCTGTAGATGCCAAGAAACTAAATTTACCAGTACGTGGATATTTAAGTTCTAATGTATTTTCTTCATGAATTGTGTAAATATTCATGTTGAACAAAATTCTAAGAAAATATAAGAAGACTAATTCAATTATGAAGGTTAATTTAACTTTTACAAATTTCCTAGGATTACCACAAAATTATAAAACAACCAATGGATTTGGGCACAATCAAAAAAAGATTAGAAAATACATATTATTGGAGTGGGAAAGAATGTATTCAAGATTTCAATACAATGTTCACCAATTGTTATGTTTACAACAAACCTGGAGAAGATGTTGTGGTTATGGCACAAGCTCTCGAAAAATTGTTTCTTACGAAGGTAATTATGTTTCAAAATCTTTCAATATTTCAATTAAAAGAGAACATATATTGTGTGGATGTATGTGTGATAATATAATAAACACTAAACAAACTACTAGGTTGCACAAATGCCAAAGGACGAGGTAGAACTCGAAGTTCCTGTTTCAAAGGGACCCAAAGGCAAAAAAGCAGGCAGAGTTGGAGCACCAATAGGTGGAGTAGCAGGGGCTACAGGAGGTACAGGTCGAGGTAGACCTTCGTCTGGTGCAGCTGCAGTCACTTCCAGTGTACCAAATAGCCTAACGCCTTCAGCTACGTCTGCTGGAACAACAGGCGTCATCCCCATGCCTCCCCTTGGCACCCAAGCACCTGCATCTGTACCTGGGAGCACTAATACGACTACTATTGCTCCTCCATCAACTATGGGAGTCACTCCCATGGCTACTCATAACTCTTTGCCTCAACAAGTTGTCCCTCCAACTACCGGTTACCATGCACAACCAGCAATGGATCCGCAAGCAGCTTCTGCTGTACCCCCTCCTCCACAAGTTCCCACTGCACCCACAGTAATGCCTCCATCGCAACCTGCAAAACTTAAAAAGGGAGTGAAGAGAAAGGCTGATACTACAACTCCTACTGCAAATTCTTTTGAACCTTTATATAAATTGGATCCTAAAAATGCCAAAATACCTACGAGACGAGAATCTGGCAGACAAATAAAGAAGGTAAAAATGATGTTCTTTCGTTTAATAAGCTATTCGTGCATTAAGTCTTTTCTAAAATGTTAAAACATTCGTGTGTGTGTTTTCGTACACTTTTCATATTGAACATGCAACCTGTTCGTCATATAATCATTTGTACCTAAACAATTATCTCAGAGAAAATTTTCTAGAAATTATATATGTCACAAAGATAGTCTAAATTTCTTTCAGACATTTTAAGTATAATAGTAAAATTTTAACACAGGGATGGAGAACCCGCAGCCCAAAGACAGCATGTCTTTTAAGATGTCCTAGGCGGCTTTTTCGCGTATTTTGTTAATAATATATCTTCTTCGTTTTATATTCTCAGATGGTATTTATTTTAAATAATTGAAATTAAAAAGTCCATATTTTTAAATTACAATGGTAATAGTGATTAATGATTTGGGAGTAATATAGACTTCTTTTTGGTTTTTAGGGCAATATTTAACATTTTATTCAAGTCGACGTTTCGACCTAAGTTGAAGGCCCTCTTCAGGATAAATTCGTATCTTATTTAAAAAAAGTGATAATGTAGTTTATATTATATACAATGTGAAACAATGAATGTATTGATTTTTTCCTACTTTAGTTCCAGTTTCTGACTGTGTTTTTTACTAGGAAAGATTTTAGTTCTTTGTTTGATAATATTTTCATTAGTTGTTAACATAAAATTTATGATCTGTTTAGTAATCGTAATTAATAAGTTAATGTAGTTTCTATATTTTCGAATGACTAATCTACTAAATATATTAGTAAATGGTAAATTATTCTTTTTCATTCAAATAAGTTGATCGCGCGTAGTTGTTAATCGGCAACTGAAAATATTGTTCTAACATTATATATAGCATTATATATAACATGGTAATTAGTAAGTGTTCTCTTTATGTTGCTTTTAGATCAAAATAACTCTATCTGATGTATATTAATGTAAAAGATGCGTTTTCGTTGTATTTTAATTAATTTTTATAAGTAAGATATGAATTCACCCTAAAAGGGTTTTCAACTTAAGCCGAAATGTCGACTTCAATAAAACGTTAAATATTGTTCTTAAAACCAAAAAGAAGTCTATATTATTTCCAACTTATTAATAAATTTGATTTTTCCAACAGAAAACTGCAATGTGTTTAAATCCTGGACGACATGCTAGAAAAAACAGACTGAAAATTCGTTTATCATTCTATGAATTTTTAAAAATTTCTAATGGCAAAAGGTTCTCCACCCCTATTCTAACAATTTGAAAACTTAAGCAAATATCAATTTTTAACAATGATCTCAATAAATTAAAGCATCTTGTATATTTAAGTATTTTTGTTCCTTGAACGCTATAATCGTATCAGCCATTAATACATTAACAAAGAGTTTGTAACGTGGCTGTTTCAGCCAACGAGGCAAGCGGAAGACGGCTTAGTGCCATTCCAGGCCAACATGCCCCTGATTGGGGCAATGGCCCAACAGGTACATTTATTACTACTCCTTCATGCTCCTTCCTTTCATTTGTGCTGTCTTATCATATCAAGCGAACAAAATTGTTTTTTTTTTTTTTTCTTTCAAAAACTACCTAAACTCTTTTCATTAAAAAAGAGGGACAAATATTTTGTGTAAATATTTTTGTTTTGATTTATGTTTCTTTTGTATATCTCCTAAGGTAGTAGTAGGTCGCAATATAAAGTAAATATGCTTTTATGAACTGCTACTTTTTTTTGCACTTGAAAATGCAGCTGCAATATTTTTTGTAATTACTATTTATGTATTGGTTTACAGCCTCAGCATACCACTGGAAAGTCGAAAGAAAAACTTTCAGAAGCTTTGAAGTCCTGCAATGAGATTCTGAAGGAATTGTTTTCGAAAAAACATTCGGTAATTTTCACACTTTATATAAATAGAACATGATTATCGGAACAATTCTTATGATTTGTTTTTTTATTGATGTATAGGGTTATGCATGGCCCTTTTACAAACCAGTCGATGCAGAACTCTTAGGTCTTCACGACTATCACGACATAATCAAGAAACCAATGGATCTTGGTACTGTAAAGGTAATACTAAGTTTTCCTTTCTATAGTTATCTGTGTCATATTTATACGTTTTCATATCTGACAGCATGAAAAGCTGCATTTGTGATTTATACAATTATTATTTTTACAGACGAAAATGGACAACCGTGAATATAAAACAGCACAAGAGTTTGCTAGCGATGTACGACTTATATTTACTAATTGTTATAAATATAATCCTCCTGACCATGATGTGGTTGCAATGGCTAGGAAACTTCAAGATGTCTTTGAAATGAGGTTCGTTCTTACGGAAGTCGAAGATAAAGCTTATGTGCTCCTCCTTTTTTATTTGATGAAATAAACTTTTTAATGAACTAGGTATGCAAAAATTCCGGATGAACCAATGGGAGGCATGGTAGGCATGAAAGGTAGCAGTAGTAGTGCCAGTAGCTCGGGATCTGAAAGTTCTTCCGAGAGCGATGATTCTGACGAAGAACGTACCCAAAAATTGGTGGCTTTGCAGCAAGAGGTATATTAATATTTTTCTGTTATTTTGTTTATCATTTTTTTATGTGTTTGATGCACAAAATTAATTTGACCTGCAGCTGAAAGCCATGCAGGAGCAAATGAGGAAACTGGTAGAAGAAAGTGGTAAAAAGAAGAGTAAAAAGAAGAAACCAGACAAGACGAAATCAAGGCCAATGAGCAATAAGAGTAGTAGCCTTGTTGCCAGTCATACTGGTGCCATGAAAGAACTGATGAAACCAAGTGGTGGAATCCCCAACGTCTCTGATAGTGTCGGTGCTAGTATAGCTAGTGTTGCAATGGGGGCAGGTGATTTGAAAATGCCTGGTGGTATGGGTGGTGATCTTCATCATCCAGCTATTACAGTAGGACCTAATAAAACTCATGCAACAGGAAGTATGAGTCATCACCTGCCAGCGGCGACGAATGCTAAGCCAAAGGGAAAAGGAGGAAGAGGGCCCGGAAAAGCTGCGGCAGCAAATGCCGCAAACAAGAGGCCAAAAGCAAATAGTAGATCAGCTGGAACTAAAAAGAAGAGTGCCAGCAGTCAACCACCTCCGATAACATTTGATTCAGAGGATGAAGATAATGCTAAACCAATGTCTTATGATGAAAAGAGACAACTTAGTTTGGATATTAATAAACTACCTGGTAAGTAATAACTAATTATCTATTACATATTAAAAAACAGTATTGTCTAAAAATATATTGTTCATTTTCATACTCTAGGAGATAAATTAGGACGAGTCGTGCACATAATACAATCTCGAGAGCCTTCATTGAGGGACTCAAATCCGGATGAGATTGAAATTGACTTCGAAACGTTAAAACCATCCACATTAAGGGAATTAGAGAGTTATGTCGCCTCGTGTTTGAGAAAAAAGCCACGTAAGGTTTATTTTACGTTTTGTTGGATATTATGATAAGATTCTATGATCATTTCTCAGTAATAGAGGCAGAATATTCGAATATTTATTTTAGAAGTTTTATCGTAAAATATATAAAACAGCTTTTTTAATTTTATTCAGAATGTAAAGTTATTACTGTATATAAATTATTGTAGTATTTTCGAGAAACTAGAAAGTATAACTAAACATAGGTTTTCGTACATCTTTATTTTAACATATTTAACTCCTCAATGTTCTCAGATAAAAAAGTTAGTGGCAAATCTAAGGACGAACAAATGGCAGAGAAAAAACAGGAATTAGAAAAAAGGTTACAAGACGTTACGGGGCAGTTAGGCAATGTTAAGAAAACAGTTAAGAAAGGTTAGTACCTCAACTATTTTGTGCAACAATATTTATTTCGTAAAAGTATCAAAAAATTGGTTACTGATTCGACAAAAAAATGGTTACTGATTCAACAAAAAAATGGTTTAAGTATTTGGCAATGCTTTTTACAGAGGACAGTAGTAAATCAGTTGATGTAGTTGGAACTGGAGGAGCCAGTGGGCCTTCGCGATTGTCAGCGTCAAGCAGTAGTAGCAGTGATAGCGACTCCAGCAGTAGTTCACTTTCTTCGAGCTCCAGTGATTCAAGCGACAGTGAAGCAGGTTAGATATGAACCTCATGTAACTGTTGCTATTATTAGACCCTTACTTGGGAACAATGAACTACTTATTTATAAGTAGCTTCCATGAAATATGTTTTTCTGTGAGATTTAAAATTATGGGGTTATTTGCGACTGTTTTTCTTTGGTGGAATGGACAGCCTTAGACAAAATTTTTCGTGGAATTCACTACCATTGACACATTCTATAGAGCACAGATTTCTATTCACGTTTATGCTGTGAAATATTACAAAGACAATACATTTATAGACCTTTGACAAGTATTCAAATTACATGTATATTATTTCCTTTTTTCTCAACTAGTTTTTCTTCACATAACGTGACAGAGTAGTTTAGAGATTCCATTTCTATATTTGTAGCAATATGTAAATTTGTTTGTATATTCATTAATTTCTCAGGTAAAACTGTTCGTTTCGAACAACAATAAACTGTCACTAAGTAAAATATAAAAATCATAGACGTGAATCTTCTAGTTACTTTAAATAAAGTTATTCACCATTTCATGCGGGTATTTGCTACATGGTAATAAAAACTAAGGTTAGTTTTTATATTTGAATTTTATTTTTATTGCATAGAAGGAATGTCACTGTTTATGCATGTTTTTCTTTGTGTATATCTTTTCAGTTGCTGTAAAATTACATTACTCTTATCGTATATCTCTTGTTTAAATATTGTCAATCTTCGATGCTTTCCAAATCTTATATTATCAATTCTAGAAAGAATTTACGTGCAACAGAAAAGGTCTATGGAAATATAATATGATGAATGCTTCAAATGTAGTGCACAAATTGTTAAATGAAAATATCTGATAGTAATTAATGCTTCAGTGTCAACTGTTAACGTACCGATTTTCACTGTTTCAAAGTACTATATTATAATAGTAATTTAAATAATATTGGGTAGTTACATTTTTACAGGGAAATACTTAAAGAATATAAACACAAGGAAATTCGTAGTTTAATGTATGAAATTATAAAAACATAACGTTTGATGCCCCATGACTTGGTGATAACTTTAAACTTAAGAAATAATGTGAACTCTGTGCCTAACCAATTTTGTATTGGCAATTAAAACAATCGAAAATACCGGTGCAACAATACCGATACAATATATGCAGCAGCGGAGTAGTACGAACAAATTTTCCAGACGGGGGTTTGACTGCACAAATGCATCGCAAATATCTTCTTAAGCTGCTAAATCTTGCTTATTAATTGTATTTATTAGGACGGCGTTATTCGTGTAGCTTAAGTGCTGCGTTATATTAATGCAAGTACGAATGTCGTGTCAAGTTTCATTGTAAAGTTTGTATTAACGATAGATGACACATAATCATAATATAAATTTACTTAAATCCATATGTACATTTTCAAACAAAAGTATCTCTAAAAATGTTTTTGAGTATGGAATTTGAAACTTGACACAATTAAAGAATTTCTATTTAATTTACAAGACAATATGCAATGGTAAGAAAAAAAGGTGAGCTAGTGGAGTGCAGACTGTGTTTAGAGGATACCATATGCCATGCCAGCTTATTTCACAAATTACATTATTGATTAAAAATGATTATACTTATATTTTCTCTTGCCCTGTCGGTGTTGACAATACATTCTGTTGCTCGAAAGTCAAGTATAGTTTGCTACTCAAGGTAACTGAATTCTTCACTGCAGTCTCGTGCTTTATTAAATACGTAAGAATATGTATCTTGAAACCAGTTAGTCGCTTGAACAAAATGAAAAAGGTTACTTAGTAGTTAAGAAAGTTGCAACAACAAGTACATTAAAAATACACAATGTAGCAGGGACTGTAGTGTCGAATGTTAGCACCTTGGATTATACATTGTAGCTTCTCCTGACAATTATACTGCCCTACGTAACCCAAGCAACATCATGCAATATATTAACTCTTGCAAACTTAATATTTATTTACATTAATTGATAAGCAGAGCATTACTTGTATCACTGTGTTTTTTAAATCATTAAGTTTGTTTCCTCGCATTGGTTCATTCATGTCGTATCATTTCTCAGAATATAGTACAGTGATATTAACAAGCGTCATTCTTACATTAAGTGTGAAGATACACTTATTACCTGAGTGACGTGAGAACTGTGTTTGGGCTTCTGAACACTATATTTGTTTCCACAGACTAGACTGTGTGGACTTAATGGTCAATACTTGAGAGGAACAAATTAGGCAGTGATATTATGATACACACGGGAAACAAATGCAGACAATGTGTATTGGTGGCTGGATTTGCGAATCAGCGTTCTAAGGTTACTATAATCCACAGCTTTCGCGTCAAAATAATCAATCTAATTAGATACACTCTCGTGTTGATACTGTCTCCGCATACAATTTTAGAGTTTACATGTTTCTTGATGAGCTCTTATCTGATATTACCTCATGTTACTATTTCCATTTCTTAATTAAGTTTACTTTCATAGAAGCCAAAGAAGCCGTGCTTCCTTTGAAAAGTCAATTATTAAGATTTCTCACCTCGTAAATACGGTTTGGCGTGATAGTACATTATATTTTTTTATTGACTAATGAATGGTGGAATTGAAGCGAAGTTTTGAATCTTCCTCGAAGTATGTGGGTTTGAGTAAAACTAGTTACAAAACGAACGTAAATTGAGCGGAGAATGTGATATATGCGAAACGATAAACAATTTCCATTTATTTTGTTGTAAGATCAATGACTTTGAGCATACAAGGTTTATGTTAACATATCAGAGAAAGAGAAAGGCAAGGGGAGTGTATAAATAACACAGACAGAAAGAACAGATAGCTATATTATTTGTAGCAAATAGTGGAAAGAGAAGGGAATGGTAGAAGAAAGAGGAAAGAGAGCAGGTTAAGGAAATGGTCTACAATACGAACAAGGCACCCTAGCCTCCAAACACATTGTTTGCACTCCGCTAAGCTTTGCTAATCGTCGTTTCATTACTCTATTTACCACTAGTTCTTCATTGGTATCCATTGTCAGTTTTCTCATTTGTGGATTTACTTGAACAGAAGTTTAACAGATTTTCATTCTGCTAAATCAATATCATTATGTCAATGAAATATGTAGATCGGTGCGGTTTTACATACTTTGCTATACAAATTGTATTATTATTACATTTGGTAAAAATAAATTTTGTTTTCTCTCAACAATACGATTTGAAAATATGCATAATACGTACTATCGATTCAAAGTATTCATGTTGTAACAGCGATTCAAGTAATATTAATTTTAACCCGTCCTATTAAAACATTTTTAGAAAATCTTTTATACAAGTTTGAATGAGGTTAATTTTAGTGATATTTTGTTTTTATATTTCTATGTGTAAATGTCTGCTCCATGATAGCGTTTTTTGTTGAAATATCATGTAAATTTAGTTCTTATATATAGCAAAATATATACATAAGAAGTTATGGACGTAACTGATATAAGATTCTAAGGTGCTTCTGAAAGCACTTCATGCTTCAAGATGTTGCATAACATGAACATTAAAAAGGTGATCAAATTCGCACTCAGTACAATTTAATGGTATCATTAATCGTACGGTCAGCAGCGTACTTACTGTTCCAGCAAAACAAGTAGAAAAATAAATTATTAACTACTATTAATTTTACCAAAAGAAGAAACACCAGAATTGGTCAAAAAAGTGTTCGTTGATTTCTAAGGAAATTATAAATATTAAGGTAGATATGAAGCGTTGATCAGAGTAATCCTATTATCATTTTATGTTTCCCACAATATTGAAAGTAAATAGAAAAATTCCAAATACTTAGTTAGACTACGTGAGATCAAATTGATGGCGTGTGCTGAATTAGATAGAAACTATGCATCTATTAAAATACAATCACCATTAGTTTGTAACATGAGGTATAGGGCATTTTATAATAATATTAATATTGCCTTCCAAAATTTTTGTAGCATTTATTCCATATACAAGCACGCGTCTAAATTTTTTCGCATTCTTATCCAAACTGGAACCTTATTCTTCCTTCTAGATCGTTATACGCAAAAGCAGATCCAATAAATTTAATATTTTGTTACGCTTTTGGGATGCTCTTTTATTTAAAACCATTAATTATCTCTTCTTTTAAGAGTCACGCGAGCGTTCCATCTGTTTTCTGCGTATCACGAAAATTGCATAGCAACAATAACACAAGCATACGCGATTTGTACATAGTGAAGACTAATATATCATAAAATATTAATAATAGCTATAAGTTATGAAAGAAGGCGAGACACAGGAGACTTTTTTAAATGCATACACAAAGGTAGACGAGTGAAGTAAAAAGAGAGAATTAATTCTATGAGGTCGTTTAAGAGTCGGGGTTGGCTCATTTGGTGGTCCAGTTAATTATATTATATAAATTAAGACATGCTGGAACTCCTACTCGATGTTTTTTAGCTTTTCATTATTTCCTCTTGCAATCGTTTTGTCTTGTATTGTACATTTCATGAATTTTAATCTAATATCGACCATTCCATTGATAAATATGAATTCATTGCGGGCATGAATCAGGTTAACTATAGTATTAGAGTTGCTTCTTGTGACTGGTATAATAACTACTATTGACACCGAGCAGGAGTATCTTGCCACCGATCTCAATGTTGTGCTAACTGCGACTTGAATTTACGTTTCAAACTACTTGTACGAGTGTGACACTCTTGTATCATTCATGTTTAAGTTGAGTCCATATTGTACTATTTACGTGACTTTTATTTGCATTAATTTTATTATTATACTACATTAATTATATTATATTACATTACACTGTATGAAAACTAAAAAAAAGGCAGTTTGATGGTTTTTGTAGTCAACATTTTGTAATCATCATTTTCTCTACTGTCACGATTATTATTGTAATAATCATCATTATTATTATTATTACTATTATTATTATTATTATTATTATTATTATTATTATTATTATGATTATTATGATTATTATTATTATCCTTATATAAAGAAAAAGCGCGCTCTTACATACATATATAGATTGATATATGTATGTATGGCAGTTTCGCAACACGTGAGCGTATGTATGTATGTGCGAACGCGTGGTATGTATGTATGTATTTATGATGTGTATACATATATGTATATATATATATATATATATGTATATGTATATATATTTATATGCACACGCAATTACTCATAAATAAATTGAATACAACTAACTTTATGTAGAATGAGAAAAGAATGAATTGTTCTGCGCATTAAAATTTTTTAATATAAAAATTATTAAGATGAAAGTTCACAAAAAATCATATAATTGAGATATTTAAATTAACATTGTTGTACACAGTGATACAATTATAATATAAGCATATGAATAAAATCTATTAGAAAATATATGCTCGAAGTTTTTTAATTTTGTTTCTAATATACTTAATATTTAGTTTGTATATTTTACTTGGCGAAACACAACACTCATGGCTGGTATCCTCTGCACACTGCATTTCACTATATCTCCATCGATCTATCTCTTGTAACGAGAAAATGATTGATTGCACATATTCACGGTTAGATGCACGTTACATTGAATTACAGGGAACTCTACCAATCGTCCACCAAGAAAGAAAACAAAGAAGAATACACCAAGTACAGGAGCTCCCCCAACAACAACTACTGTCTCTTCGGTAAGATCTGTAAGCAAGATCTAATAGCAATTGTCTTATTGTAATTGATATACCTTGCTTTATATTTTTACAATTCCTATGTTTTACATTATAATGGTTAAGGCTCAACATTGTACAAGCTATTGATTCTATTTATATTTAAAGGTATATTGTGTTAGTCTTATATTATAAAATAATCCAAACCCCCTGGTGTGCATAGAGAAATCATTTCTATGCGCGATATATTAACTAATAGTACACTCTTTAGGCACCTACATTGAATCATACCGGAGGTCTTTTAATGAACAATCAACCTCCAACAAATTCTACGGGACCAATAACAAAACCAGCTGTAACTCAACCTAGCAATATATCTTCGGAACAAGGTATATAAAACTCGGCAGTTCCTAAATTTATTATATGTATACTAACTATTATTGTTAATATTATTCTACACGTCAGATACATTATATCTATACACATATAGACTACTTTATTCGCGGATTATGAACGAATTTGAGCAAACAAAATTTAAATGCACATGATATACCACCTAACGATAGTTTCATAAAATAATATATCACAATTTCATTTAGTTTTACACATATATTAATAATTAAATGTCATTAACTTTCATGTTCACACTTTTAATAGGTGGTAATAGTCAACAATCTGTGGCAGTAGCAGCTGTTACAGCTGGTCAAGGAATGCCTGTAGCAAGTCACACATCTATGCCGGCGCAACCGTCGCGACCTACGGCTTTGGCTACCGCTGCACCTGTAAAAAAACCTACTCCACCACCACCGACGACTTCTAATCCACCAACACCGTCAGTGTCTGTACCAACTCCACCACCGAGTGTTACGCCTACAAACACAAACTCTATGGTAGCTTCACCGGTTGTGCCTCAACCACCACAGCCACCCACATCCGTTAGTTCCTTTTCAAATGCAAACACGCCTGTACCTACAGATGGGACAACTTTAACTCAGCAGTCAGATCTTTTGCAACCGTATAATACTCTAGGTATGTTTTGTTGCACTGTGTAAGAAATTGACTTACTCTTTGACTACAATTATTTAGTTACACGTACAATGAATTACGTTACAGATTTCTGAATTTCTTCTAATAATATCTTTCTTTGTACAGCCCTTGTGCCTACTACACAATCATCGTTAGAGCAAACGATGTCAGTAAAAAAGGAATCGCACATACCAATAATTCAAGCACCACACACAACAACTAATAATACCAACTTGAATTTACTGTCGGATGTAAAGCCTCCAGTGATGACGTCAAATATGGCATCCAACATAAATTTGGGAAACATAACTATGGCCAACCTCAATATGAATTTACCACAAGGATTGGCTACGCATATATCAATGCACAACCAATTGGAGAATATGATAAATACCACTTCTCCATTGACTAGTATACAAAATTCGCATAACGTCACAATGTCGCAGCAGCATTCCAATGGATTCTCTAATATCAAACGCGAGAATTCTCCACCTAATATGTTCAATAATAATGGCATACCTGGACTTAACATGGGGATAAATATGGGGGGAATGGGTTCAATTTTTGATCCCTTACCTATTACCATGCCATTGCAAATATCTCAATTACCAGTAAAGAAAGAAGAGAAACCACTACCTATTTGTCAAACACAAATGGATCAAAAACCCATGGATGGTACGTTTGATGTTGGCTTAATTTTAATGCTTGCAGCCCATTTAGCATGTAAGGCTGTCAATTAATTGTAATTTTCATTTTTAAATTTAGGCTATCATATCTATTAGCGTTTAGTTGCTTCTACCTTTTTTTTCTATTTAATTATTCATACTCTATTAAATCACGATAACAGTCACATTAATATAGTACAGTAATATAATAAAGTCTATAAAAAATGATTTTAATTTCTTACTCCGTAGGTGAATTTTTAAATGCTCTTTAATTCTTATATACATATGTACATATTATATAATTAGTACATATGTACTTATTATACATATGTACATATCATATAAAACACATGCCTTTGCTTCGTTAAAAATGATTCTTAATCATGCTTTGCTTCTAAACTGCATACATTCTAGACTGCTATATTAACTGCTTACTAATCAAATATATAATGCCATTGCTCTAGCCGGAGCTCTTTTTGCAGAAATGAGTACGCTAGGAATGCCACCAATGGGAAATCATTCGAGTTCACAGCTCATGTGTGAAAAAAAGATGACACCACCTGACTCAAAGAATCCTGCAGCGAATTTTGCATCAGCCTTTAAAACTAAGGTAAAGGACTAAATACTTAAGGGGCAGTTTTATTAATTTCAGATTAAAGAGTCGATTTTCCTTTTTACCTGATATGCTTATTATCGTGATAGAACAAAAACAAAGACGGAAAAAGCAAAAAAAAACATTTCCCAATACTACATTAAAATAGTTGTACGCTTATTCCTTCTTAATTCGATCCACTATTCGGTTAAAAGTATCAGATCTTAACATTAATAATTTAAAAAAATGTATCATTTTCAAAGTCCTTTAGCGTAATATACTTCTTATATTTCTACATTACAAATGTTCCATTTTTTTATTTGTTTTTCACACATGCACAGACTGTAGAACAAAATGTAAAAAATGCCTCATCGTGGTCGTCCCTGGCTCAAGCATCGAGTCCTCAATCCGCAGCAGGAAGTAGTATGAAGAGTGCTGCTCGTGATTCATTTCAAGCATTCAAGAAACAGGCCAAGGAAAAACAAGATAGGGTTAGTACAACTCGTATTTTTTTTTTATACTTTGTTTTTTGTTAAAGTACTCTTACAGCTTCAGTAGATTAAATCTTCGCTAATACAACCATAGTAAATCCAAATGTCGGATAATATGATATTTTTTATATCTTGTTGATATGTTAAAGTACACAGGGTCCTGAAATATGTTTAGAGAGATTTATTGATACAACATTCAAATTCTTTTCATTAGTATCCTTCAAAATGTAATGAGACTTGATTTTTAAGTTAAACCAGGCAGTTTTTTACACAAATCGATTCTTCTTGTTATGTTGCATATAAAATCCTATGATCATTGCTGAGAAAAATTGATTTATGCAAGTACATATTTAATCGCTGTAAAAAAAAACAATTATTTCATCACAAGATCTTTGTATAATTTTTTTTTTTATATCTGAACTACAGCTTGTCTCAATTTCTAGTATCACCCCGTTTTTATTATATTTAATTTAAGAAGAACAGTGAACATTTCGTTAGCTATAAACTTTTTTTTGTGCAGCAAAGAGCTTTATTAGAACAACAAGAAATGCGTAGACAACAGAAGGAACAGGCAGAGAGGGAGCGTTTACGACAGGAAAACGAAAGAAGAAGAGAACGGGAAGAAGAGGACGCGTTAGACAAAGTTAGAAAAACTGTTGGTGATCAGCAAGGGAATGTCATGACTGCTCCATCGAGGACGGAAGAGGTCAAGGCCATTGTCGATACTGATAGCAGTAGTCCGAGTCATTCATCCAGTCAGGACAAGGCCGCAGCCGAGAGAGAGCGTCAGAGGCTACGGGAGCAAGAACGACGGCGTCGCGAAGCGGTAAGTGTTAGCATAATTTCTTTTTTCGCAAGTTTTTTATTTTTTGTCCACAATATGTTTTTTGTATGAGACCTCTATTGCATACATTGTGGCGATCGATAAGTCTTTGAAGATCTTTTTATGGAAAACAAGACAAAAGTCCTCAAATAGTAACAAATATTTATTTAATTACATATGCCCCATTTTGTTGAGTAATCCTTCAAAAATTTCTTTCAATATACATGTCTCTGTGTTTTATCGTTGATAAATGAAATATAGATTCAGTAGACATTAATATAAAGCAATAAAGACTTATCGACTAACCCACTACTTAAAAATTCAAGTCGAAAGTATTCAGTTCCATAAGGAGATATAAAATTATTGGACAAGTTTAAGATATGAATTGTAATTCATAGTATATTTTTAATGAATTTTAATGATATTCAATATACTTGAGAGGAAATTAAATTAGGGTATCTTGATGTTAATTTAAGCATTTATTTGATTTAATTCTTTAATCTTACATTTTGTTTTATTCTAAGCAAAACATGCTCGTTGTAAGCAAAGTAGATTGTTTTCGTATTAAAACAAGTTTTGATTCTAGTAAAAAAATGCTTGAATTACCACCAATAGATTCCCAATTCAAAGAACATGTTTGAATCGCGTGTAGCAAGATACGTCGCGAGTAAATTTTCTCAGTGTACAGCTTTTCGTGGGTGGATTCGGCAAGAATGGGTGTATTTATTATTTCAGATGGCTGGGCGAATAGACATGAACATGCAAAGAGATTTGATGGACGCGTTTGAGGAATCGTTATAATGTTATTTGCTGCTCTTTATAAACCCACTGAAACCGGGCAGGACTTGGATGAATGTTTGGCGCTGGACGGTACCACAGATACGTATTAATATATACGTCAGTCAATAACAATGATAAATAATAATGATAATAAAAATAACCGTAAACCGAAATAAAAAAAAAGAAGAAGACGGTGTAATAGGAGAAACTGGTGGTGCGTGTTGGGACATTCCAACGGAGAATCCTAATTTCATTTGTCCGTGAGTTCGGATTTCAAAGAGACAGTTTATCAAATGACGCAGAACTAATTGTGTGTAATCGACGGACACCTAAGTGTGACCATGTAATTAGATAAATACTTACACGACATTTTGAAAATGCTACACTGACTATTGTGTTACATTTTTCCGGTTTTCATAAGTTTGTACTTTATGTAAATTTGGAAACAAAACAAAAAATATTACGCAGAAGATAAGTGAAACGAAAGAAAAAGCGAGAGTGTCGCGTGTGATCAGTGAATGTGTGATAATGAAAGAGAGCGTGGGGAAGTGTAAAAGTTGTGTACATTTAGTTAAGTTTTATATTTTTCCACATTCAGTCATTAATCGTTGGTAGGATTACATAAACAGTGTTTCTGCCAATAATACATATAATTATTAGGTATTACTAATAATTTCATTGCAGATTTCTTTCTCGATTATGAATATACGCTATTTGTAATCACGAAATAGGTAGGCTTGTTAAGTCAATAATATAGAGAAATATACCTAATGCAAACATACACATTGGTGAATTTAATCGTAACGATCATCACGATAGCCCGTACGACTATCAGTTATCAGACTTGTGGGGGTCGTAGACGTCGTGATTCATCGTACAATAAATTGTACAATTTGTTTTATGCGATTGTTTGGACGATAATTGTACAGTGTAGGACAGTTTATGGCATAATCTGTTGTACGAAGCTACTATACCACTATCGTTGCAACTCGACATGTTCGACTCATCGTACTGACAAATCATTGCGTCTATGGCCTCTTCTAGGAGTCGGAGAAGGCCAATCGGTTGATTTAAAAAAAAAAAAAAAAAAAAATATTTGTAAACACACCTTAGAACAAAGTCGTCAATTATTACGAGTAAAGGTAAGGTGAATGTAGAATGATGTAGTTTCGATCCTACCAACCATTAAATCAGATCAGAGATACATACCTAATTCTTGGTATGCTTTCGGATCGTGGAAAAGATAATCGTGACATGATATCGACCCGCAAATTGTCTAGAAAATGATTATATTTACTTATTCGATAAAGCGAGCTAATAAAATGGAATTCATTAAAAAGGTTCTAAAACGTTGCGGAAAATGATTAAAATATAAATTCTCAAGGCGTCAGGTGTAGGCGTGCGATAAGCGTGAATTTTACGAAAATCAAATCGCTTCTGTATCAGTGTACGCGGACATTGAGTGCACCTTGAATAACAAAAAATGGATTCAACCGGCAAAAAAAGTACAAAAAATGATATTTAATTGTAAAAACAATTGCTAATTAAAGTTTAAATTAATTACGTACTCCTATTACATTGCGATTCATTTTTAAAGAAGTATTTTGAATTTGTAGAAATTACAGTAGCGGCTGTAGGTAATTGCACAGACATTACTGGCAACAAGGGTTGCCCTGTGAGGTATATTATTATTAATATTATAATTATTATTAAATTATTTCATTAAATGCAATTTTATTTTTTTAAGAAGTCTTTACAAACCTGCAAAATGTCTTTCTTTATCGTAGCGTAACGTACGTCAACTTTGTTTGGGGAATAAAGGAACGCGTTACGCTGTCACGAAACACTAATTCATGGCATCAAGATGTGCTTGATTTTATTTTTACTTCATTCGAAAGATTATACAAGTCACAAATATATGTTCCTTTCTACGTGATACTATGTCAAATGTTTTGCAGCTGTCGACACAGTGCAGATGTGTCGAATTATATTTGGAAAACTTATACGCAATCTGGTATACACTATTGGGGTGCTTCATAAGTTTTTTTGTTTTTTTTTTTAATTAAAAATTCAAACATAAATATAACAATAAATAAAGATTGTTGTGCGATGTAAAGACCATTATATTCCAAAATTATGTAATATATGTATATTATGTGTTTTTTTTTTATATATATTTTTGTTTTTTTTTTTCGTTATATGAATTAAAACAGTTTCTTTACCTCCCACTTTGCATACCTTCCTCACCTTACCGTTTCTGCTGCTTCGAAACTTTCTCTATCTTTCTTGGGTAAACTTCTGTTAAAACAATATATAATAATTATTTAAAAATTATTTAAAAAAGAACTCTGAGAGCTTCAGAATGATATGTACAGGGAGTCCTATGCAACTGGAACAGGCTGTACCTTCTAAACCCAAAAATAATCTATTATTATTAAAGAAAACGAAAAAACTTATGAATTACCCTGGTATGTACGCGATGTTCGAACGATCATTGGACCGAATTTGTTTTGTCACATAGAATCGACGTTTTTGTTTTGCTGAAAGAGATATAAAGCTTGTGGGAGATTGATGATAGATCGTCAATGCATAGCGATTAATTTTTATTTATTCTGCGTTTCCTTCAATATAATATTTATCATGATGGTACCGTGTCGCTTTGAGAAGGAATATCCTTATGGAATTAGTCCTTTTTCTCGCCGTTATTTGCTATGAGTTTATTCGCAAAAAAAAATGTTCGCGGTAAACACAACATAGCTGCGCATAGGTACAACCCACTGAGAAAAGAAGAAAAAATTGTTCAGAATCGCGAAGGATCTCATTGGAAGATTTGAGACGCGTTCGAATGCTGTCGAGCCCCTCGTCGAAAAATCGCCGTGTATAAGAACATTACGCAGAGATGGGCAAAATTCTTATCACGATAAAATTGTTGAATAACGAGTGAAAGATAAAAATTACTTTCTATTCGTTATACGTTATATACAAATTAGAAATTATAGAATAAATTTGAATTCTACTTTAAACGAGTAAAACATTGATATGCATAAATGTTCGCGTATAAATCACTATATCGTGTTTTTATTAATCTATTATTCAAATAAAATTCTGACCATCTCTGACATTATAGTGTGTACACTCTTAGACCGTCGATTCTGTCGTATCGTATACGTTTAGTATGGTTATACAGGTTCCTTGAACACTTCCTCTGAACATGTACACAGAGTCGACGTACGAGAAAGACGTGTCAGGAAAACGTGGAAGCGACCACGATTGTTTAAAATAATGTATTCGATCATATGTGTGCGTGTGTATGATTCTCTAATTATGTATAAATTGCGATCGACGGAGGTAATATAATTTCTAAGTGAAAGGTGTATCGATTACGTAGCGAGCCATCGAACATAACGCATTGGTTGGAAAAATCATGTTATGAATTTAATATTCGAGATATTCGTCGAAGTCTCGTTTACGACCAATTCGAATACTCCGCAAGGAAACAGAATTCGTCATGAGTTCTCGAAATGACACGGCATCGTTGAGCAAAATGTAATCTATGGTTATGATTACCAAGCAATCGGTAATCATGATTAATGATCAATGAATAATCGAATACGATTAGATCTGAAAGATTACAAATTACTGATCTGTGATTGCAGATTACAACTTAATCTGACAATTACGAGAGATTATTACTAAAGTAATCGTAAAGTAGTCACTGCCCAACTCCGTAAAACGAGAAAGGAACAAGTTTCACGAGCGTTCGCGGCGTTATTCGCAATCCTGTTTTCGTTAAGTGCATCGGAGATGATCGAAGAAACCTCGACGATAAAGCATACCCCCAATCTGCGGGATGCTCTTTGTTCTCGCGTGTTGCGTGCGCTTTCATATCAGTACGATCTTGCGCTCGACGATCGTCACACTAATTCTAGCAATACACTAGACTATCCTACAATCTTTTAGTTAATGTACCAGGGGCCCATTCCCTGGGAATTCGTTAATCAAAATTCAAGGTTTGCGATCAATCTTGGTTGTCGACCTTTAGCAATCTATTTCGCTGCGACATCAGTGTTCGCGCCTTAGCATGTACAATGATTTTAGTCATCCGTGTGTTAATTGTTGTTGTATGCACTTAATGTGGTAAGACGGTTCCTCGCAGGCAGAGGTGGGCAAAAATTCTTATCTAAACAAAGATCTCAAATAACGGATAACATGTGAACAACTTATTATTCGTTACTGAACGAATAAAAATTAGAATTTGAGTCATAGAATTGTATTATATCTCATGTTGAATGAACGAAAACTTATCTAGCTAACTATTCGATCGAATAAACGTTACGAATAAATCACTGTACGATTGATTTTATTCGTTGTGTATTATTCAATTAAAATTTCGCCCATTTCTAATCGCAAAGGAGTCATTAATGTAAAAATGAAGAGAAGAACGAGAAACGATCGATCGTGTCTTCTGTTCTTGTAAATCAGGGTGTGTTCTTTCGGTGTAACGCGGCGTTTCGAGGGGTAATGAAATCATCGTTCCGTAGAGAAAAGTGAATCAAGTTGAATCAAGTTCGAGTCTGGACGCGATGAGAACATATATTGTTTCAGTTCGATAAACATCAGTCGTCAATAGTCCGTCAAAATTGACGAGAACGTGTATTTTGGATACACGATTACAAATCTAATATACTTGATATTCGCGTGCGATATTTACTTTATACTATGATTTCATATACGACAGGAAATATTGGCAGAAGCAGAAAATGTATATCGAAACTAATACAAGCGTTGAAATGTTGTGTTAGCGAGATCGATCCAATTTTCTCTCTGTCATGAATAATCGCGTAACGTGGCGTCCGATCTTCCACAGAGGAGAAATTCTGTTTCAATGACGTTTGAATAATTTCGAATAAGATCGACACACGTTTATCTTCCAACGATCGCTTTTAATTATATTCTTCGTGAGTTATTTTTTCATCAGTGTAATTCTTTGTGTTGTGAGCACAGGTGCTGATTGAAGGCATAGTTTTTTTTCTTTTTGTTCAATTCGTGGCAGAAATTAAGATATTCGTATTAATTAAGAAAACTATTCAATATTTCTAGTTATTTTTACTTTATTTTATCTATATTATATCATTAGACTGACCAATCGCAAGTGTCTTCGAATGTTTCAAAGAATTCCTCTGGTTACAACATTGCGCCGTAATCGAAGTAACGAGCTCAACAATGACACGAATTCTAAAATGGAGAAAAAAATATTTAAAAAAAAAAAGGGAGAAGTAGCGAAGAATGAGTTCGAGGGAGAGAACGAGAAGATGAAAAGTGAGAATGAAAGTGAAAGAGGAGAATGCATGTGCTTAGGTATTATGATTGTATAATACATGGTTTGTAATTGTAAATACGTGAAGAAATCATTGGCAGCAATTTAAACAGAATACAGAATATCTATGTATAAAAAGTAATAAGTACTAATACACACCTCTATATATGTGATAAGGTTTGTAATATTTAAGGGAGGCCGATAGATTGTATAACCTACTAGATCTCAGTGTAAGTTACTAGGTAAAGACGTAATAATTCGTAAGTAACACCAAAATCACTCCGCTGTATCAAAAAATAATTTTTTATATAAGTTCCCACGGGCGCACATCATCTCCAATGGCACATGAGTTTTAGTAGACTTATTACGACTAACGATAGCGAGACATTAAGCTGGTTGTACATAAATAATAATGAAATGAAGAATAAATGGCTAAAATAAAGAAATGCTTGATGTTGTTAAGTAAGAGAGAACGTCTACTGGGCCAAGTTTGTTCGCACGCTTACCCTTGATATCCACTGCACCATTACTGTTCAAACGAAACCTTACATTCTTTCCTTTGTTTGTGTAATCCATGTTCTCCGAAAAGAAATTAAATAAAAATATTATTCAATCTTTAACACGACTTTTCTAGATAAATACATCTCGTATACGTAAAATACATTTTAAGCTTACGTGTAATCTATCTTCCCCAAAAGATTACTGCAATATTAAATCACGATATAAATTAGTAGTACTTTGTGAAGGATTTTTGAGTCATTTTTCACTTTCTGTCAATAATCTGGAACTTAATATACATAGAAAGTACACGCGAATCGTCACCCATGTTTTATTAAATTCTCGAGTTACTTAACAATATCAACTTGAACTATGTTGTCTGTACTATTAGTCCTTAAAAGTAAGAAATAAAAACGTTTATTACATATTCGAATTAACGTTACAAGATAAATGTGAATACAAGAGTTACTGTAGGTTATTAATTATACATGCATACAGAATTACCTTTCCTAGTTTGTAATTTTACATGTTATATATATACACATGTATATGTATACATATATATATAAAGATATAAATATATAAATAAAGAGCGAGAGAGAGAGAGAGAGAGAGAGAGAGAGAGAGAGAGAGAGAGAAACTGGAACAGAATGAGAGAGTATTATAGTCATCTATAGAAGAGATACTAACTGAAACATTATTGTTTCATGTTTGACGTTTTCTTTTATGTTGCGGATCTATTAGAAAGGATAAGAACCATCATTGTGTATACTATTAATGCAGATAAAACATTGCATATTATACGTTATTATAATCTCGACGACTATATTAATTATTTTAAGGGTTTAATTATTAATAACTAATTGAAAGTAAGCTGTGCTGGTAGTTTTTCATTGTGACCACTCCTGTCATTAGGGTAATTTACGTGTAAAATATACGATAATGATTTAATTAGCATAAAATAAAAATATATTAAAGTTAATATAAAAAACTTGAGAAAAATTATTTTCATTCTAGTATGTCACGTGTGTGTTTCGAATTTCTTTATTTTGCCAATAATATTACATACAGATCGCTTATTTCTTTACGAGTTTTAAGTAATATATATTGCATTTATGAAATATGTAGATTTGATGTATTTTAATATATCTTACGGTGTTAATTTAAACATCACACTATTTTTTAAAACGATAAAATTCTTTCGACTTGTGCGTGAATGAATCCATCGGCGTCCTTGGATTTGAATCCTTCTTGTGTATCCATCGAAATCAAACTCTCGTTATACAACGAAACTTTGCTGTATCGGCCAAATACAGATACTGTAAGGTCGAAATAATTAAATTGTATATGAAATTTGTTTTATTAATACGTACCACTTCCTTTACATACTATGTTTTCCACTGTCTAGCTTACCTTTAACGCACCAATTTTAATGTTTTCTCTCTAACGGTTTCAAAGTCTTCTGGTTGTCTTATATTTGCCTAAAGTATAACTGTTATATTTTTTATACGTGGTATGGAATTCATTAAAATGTAGACAGAATTGGAGCGAATTGTAGGCTTTTATAAGCAGAACATTTTGTTTAGGCTACAATCTAGATACATATATGTTCATATAATATATTATATATTATTAATACCGTAAACTTTGTAATAATCTCGCAGCTAAATAATCACAATATTAACGCACATTAATAATTATTATGATTAATCAACAGATCAACTTCTATCGATCGACAGCGATCTATAATTACTTCTTATGCGAAGTAGAAATTTCAACATGTAAGTACATATCGACATATAACGTACAGTAGAGATTTTAATTTTATTTGAACAGACATAAGTTTTTATAAGTTGGACATTTTTCAGATGAACGTGAATACATTTCTTTGTAGGAAATTAAAAGCGACATTTGTATCATCATAATTAGAGACGTGTTGCAAGTTAAACAGTGACTAATAAATGAATTGTATAACAAAAATATAATAAATAAGTTAATGTACATTTATCGCTTTATCATACAGTGAGATATCTCAACAATAAAATTGTAATTAATTAATATCAATGCACACATCATATTTTGTATCAAAATTGATGTGGTCAAAGCGTATGTAATCATGTTACACGTGATACTTATACTTTTCATGTGAGTTTTATAAGCGTTACTGATTCTGTGAGTGAAATGAAGATTAAATCTTCAAGTCAATACGACAGTCTATCAGTTTTTGGAACGGTAAATAACGAAACGTTAATAAGGAGAAATTTACACATATATCACGATTCTCCTCTACAATACATCAAATTCCGTTGCTAACCCAGCCTTTATTATTAACAAATGAGTGGTTTGGGATACAGTAACGTATTATGTCTTAGGTCATTCTCTAGCCTCATTGCCAACATGTTTATTCGTTCTCTATTAACTTTTTATTCGCGGAGGCACTTAATACCGAATGTATCCTCCTTTTAGCACCCTTTATATTTCGACCAACTTTGGATATTTATGATATGACATTCTGAAACATAATTAATCGCTGGATGTCTGTGCGATCTAAACAATTGACTGCGTGTCCCCTATTAGTATTTTAATTCCATAATCGAGATCGTCCAGAGTTTCCGGTAGCTGGTATTACTGATGAAGTCAAACTAACGGCATATTAGGGATACGGGAATGTGTGTTTTGTTTTGTTTACTCAAAAGATTTTCTTATACGTGAAGTTTACTTAGATCATCCAAGAACGATTTCGGTGTGATTATATGCGACGAACCTAAAAAAAGTAACATGTAAATATATTAAAGTAATATACGAAATATAATACGAGTTTACAATTGAGCAATACTTTATCAAATATACTTGCCAATTATTACTTCCCAATTTTGTAAGGCATCTGTAACTTCATACGCGCATCGTATTTCAGAGAAACAAACACCACCGACTACGAAGACGATTAAACGTGGTACATTCTTGATGGTTTGTTGACCTTTATCTTTGTGCCAATGCCCGTATCGTGCGCTGAAAATGAATGTTAATACAATGTTATTGATAAATCGAACTACTGTACGAACAAGTCTTTAATATACCTGGTTGGAGCATGATATCCTGAACTTGCTGCACGTCCTGCTAAAAATGGGAAATGTTTAGAATCTAGTTTGTCTTCAATGGCGTCTTCCATGATGTCTTTCATGATCGGTGTCCAGCGACTCATTTGGTAAGTTTGTTCCGTAATTCTTTCTTTACGTTGTACAGTATACAATTTCTTACGGTTGCTACCCTGTAATATTAAGAATATAATTTACTATAAAAATAAAATAAAACTTAAGACATAATCCACTAATAAAATTGACGTGTAGCTTATTTATCCTTATTAAATATGATTACTTACATCTACAACAATATTGATACCAAGATTTGCCATATTCACTATAGTTTGCTTGTCATCGGCAGATATTTGGGCATGATGAACTAAACGGTTAAGATTCTCGTCAGAAATACCGCTTTTACTAATAACGTACAAGGCGATAATTCGTAGCTTGTCTAAATGATGTACGGTTTGATCGAGTAAAATTGGAGTAATGTTTTTCATTTGATCTTTGATACGCTCGCCCTCGGCATCCGTACCCATTGCCAAATCCTAGTAAAATGTAACACATAAGTGCGTATTACGTTTAATGTATGCTTTGCATAACAATATTAGGATCACAGAAAACAGGTATTATAAAAAAAGTGTCACATACTTGTTCCACTTTGCAGAGCTTATCCACACTTCCTTGATAACGTTTCATACAATCTTCTGCTAATTGTAAATGGGTTGCGTATTTGCTCAATTCTTTCTGGTACTGTGGCATTTTCTTGATCATCTGTGAAAGGTCCCGCATACTTTGTTTGTCTCCTTGCGGCATTCTCTTCGATTCCGTGAAGTTCTTCAGCTTTTTGGTAACCTTTCTAAAAACAAATGATTCATAATGCAGGAAATCAATCGTATTTTCTTAGGACTGCATTGAATATATCTCAACTTACTGTGAAACTACGGCAATATGTTGATGTCTAAGCTCTATCCACAAGTCATCATTCTCATCCAATAATACTTCCTTTTGTACTCCTGCTGATGCTTCGAACCTTGTATAAATTTTCTTGTGTTAAAATACTATTTTAAATTAAGAATGTACAAAATTTTATTTTAGTAATAGATAATCAATAAAATAGTATATAGCAATTTACTAAGAATGTTTATTTGGTATTCGTTATTCGAAATTTTAATCTATATAAGAACTTTACCAGTCCCTATTTCAAACTAATGTCTCTTGCGCATATTGTATTATTTACCTGTAAACATCGTTCTCAATGTCTAATAAATCATATGCCATAGCTTGTAACGTCAACTCGTGCAGCAGCGGAGAGACACAGTCAAATCCTCTATCCAGAATTAACAATTGAGAACGCGCTTTCTCGGGTCCTTCTCCCATCGTCGGTTCATCCGCTTTATAGGCATCTAATTTCTGTTGAACCATGTGGGCTAGCTCCACGTTTCGGTCGAAGTCACTGTTAGGACAGACCATATAATCCAGATAAGTATTTGAAAAGTGGTGTAACATTTAATTGAGTTCTTATTTATGTATTTAGTTATAAAAAATATTTAATTTGATACAGTCTTTTAATACAATGGAACACAGTTTTTGTACCTTCGGTATCTGACTGATGGATACTCTCCAAGGGTGGAACAGAGTGTCGCGATCTGTTCGGCTATTCTTTCCATGTTGGCTGTCCTCAAGTTGGAGAAGGAAGCATTATAAAAGCAAGGGAATGTTTCGCGCGAGTCCAAGGAGAAGACCTGTTTAATTACGTGCTTATTTCAGCGTTATTTTTGCAAATATTATTCTATCTTCGCCTATTATACTTCAGAGTTCCAGCAGTGACATTAATAGCGGACATACATGTATACGTCACAAAAATTAAAAAAAAAATACTTAACAAAATTGCGAGAAATAACACGATACAGAACGGCATGCTAAAGTTTCAATGCGAAAGGAACGTAGGGAAACATACATTTTTGGACAAAATGATGACACACATTAAATAATTATCGTTTTAAATCATTTTTACAAGCTATAAATTGTAACTATTTAAACTAATCTTCAGGGGCTATAACTATATTTTATTATAGCTACAGTACGGATTTAGCAATCCCGAGGTACCCGAGCTATTAGGGGGTTCAGTGTGCCCCAAAAGACTACTGGCATTTCTAATAGGGATGCCAGAGAATGATGAAGAGAAGTATACATATAAATAAATGGAAATACAAAATAATTGAAACCAAGAATTAAATTAATATAAAGAACGAACAATTGTAAGAGTAGTACATTAGCTACTATACTCAAGTACGACCTTGCACCAAGACCTCTGTCTCGTGTAAGCATTTTATCTTTCCCATTAATTCTTCCTAAACTGTGCTTGCATATGCCCCGATTATTTGTATCGTCTAGTTACAGATTATGCAAATTCAGTAAAAATATGTGTATTATCATTTTGTCCAGAACTGTATGCACGGTAATTACAGAAGTCTTTCGCCTATATTCTACTCCGCAAAAGAAAAAACTGAAAAGTACAGAGGAACCACGTTTTGCTTATCGAAACTCAAAATTGAAAGTAACTATTGCGATTTGCCACTCTACATCTAGCGACTACGAATTTTCTTCGTTTTTTTTTTTGATCGTCACCTGCGATTCGTAAGGCAGGAAAGCGATGTTGATCTCTTTGAGGGTTTTGATCTTTTTAGCGGCGAGAGACTTGCAGATTATATTGAACATCTCGTCCGGACACGCTGGTCGCGTAACAAGCATGAATGCATTTCGTCGTTAGTACGTGCTTATATGGTGAATACTGTACAAAATTTGGGAGCAGGGAGAGGCGTCAAATAATTGCGTTAACATTGTCGCGATCGCTGGTCGAGAAACATGAGAAATAGGTTTGTGAGTCGATATGCCATAAGGGTGGAAGATAGATCGGTGTAACACGGTGTGTGATTGTGAGCCCGTCACCACGAAAACAGTTAAATGATTAGACATTTGTTCTCTCGTTAGAGCATCCTGTGCTTTACCTGTTTCTCGTACGGTATGAAAGCGATGTTGATCTCTTTTAGTGTCTTTATGCGTTTAGCTACCAGCGAGTGACACAAGTCTTTGAACAACTCATCAGGACACGCTGCAAAGAGATATACTTAGCATCTCACGGTGAGTATGGAGAAGTACTGGAAGTACCGTTCTGCCCGTTCTCCTACAATTCTTTCTCTTATTTCCAAAAATCTTGCCCCTTGAACGTGTATTAGGTAAAAAAAGAAAAAAAATGGGAGGTCGGGAATGCGTTCTTATGCGTATACAAGGAACAGAAGAATGTACTTATTACAGATATGGCCGAATTAAAATAATGTCTATTGAAATTGAAAAGTTTTTTGTAGACTGCTGGATCCTCATATGTAACATATTTTGGTAAAATTTTTTTTTTAATTATTTAAGAAAAGTTCTCGGATAAGATGGATGTAAATATACTCTCATTGGTTGGAAACAGTCTTGATACGAATCTCATAAGAAATTCACTGAGGATTATTAATAAAAATACAACACGAAGATAATAAAATTAAAAATATATATCCAAAGCTAATGAGAGGTGCATCTCGAATGTTTACGATTACGGACAAACATAAAATACTAATTAGATTACTATGATGTAGGTTTATGAAGCAATCGACTATTTTATTGAAAAAACGTAATGTTTCTTGCGTGATTCTAATTTGGCCACGCCTGTAAACGAAAAGAAGATGACCCAAGATGAAACTCTAGGACCGTCCCGACTCTGGACAAATAGAATTCTCGATTACGTTTGTCGTAAGCGAAGAAACGTGAATGGTACGATAGTACCTTCTGTAAAATAGACGTGGGCGACTTTGTAAATAGTCCCAGTTGGATTGCTGAAGTCTTCGATCAGTTTTTGAACGGATAAATTGCATGGTGTTATGAGATAGATCGCCTCCATGGTGGGTAGGGGTTCCCGTTTTTTGTTGATATCTTCGACCAAGGTAATGCCTTGGGCACTGATATCGTGCATTTTGCAGCATGCCGACACCATCCGCATGGCTAATTGATCCACTACCAAAATGCGCCATTGTACACCACTTCCTGAGGCCTTTTTTTGTTTAATGACCTCATTCATAATCTCTGCAAAAGGAAGCAAAACATTAATAGAAATATTTAGAAATATGTCATTTTATAATGAAAGAAATATTTATTTTCTACTTAAAAATATTGACGTGTGCATAATGTCTAATATAAAAAAATAACGCAAAATGTGTAATATACATATAAGACTTTCGTCAACGCTGTTTCTTACGCGTATTCTTATGCAATCATCTATACTTCCTTTGAAAATTATTAAGTTTATGATTTAAACAATTTTCTTCGTGCAATTTTGCTTAAAATTTAAAACACAACCGATAGTAGTTAAGTTTATATATTTTTTTCGATTACTAGTCACTTTCTGTTGCGTCTAATAGACGCGCACTAAAGTTTTACTCGAGTAATTCAATAATTTTATAATATTTGCAACATAGAATTATTTATCAAAATAACAGCTGTGAAGATTAATTAATAATTAATCGCGACAATGGTTGAACGATTTAAAATTAAATATGAAGTCTTTTGGCGCTTTCAACGTGTATTGATCGTTCTTACGGAGCTATGACGTCATCCGCGACAGGTTCGTATATGAGAAGCAGCGCCCCTCATTGAAAACAATATATCGGAATAAAAGAATATCAAGATTCATTGGTTCATTGTCGCATTGATCAAAATAGAATTTGACTGCCATTTAAGATGGAGAAGGACTTCATTAATCGAACAGTATGAGTAATAAGATTCCATCGCGATATAGAAATCGTCTTACGGAAAAATCATTTCCTCAATGGGTTAGTAAATAGTAGTATCGATCGCAAACATTGTATTCTACCGTCTAGATTTAAAGATTCTATGATAAATAGGAAACCAGTATTTTCCTTCCATTCGTTTCATGAAATCGTGTATAAATAGCGTGACATTTAAATGAAACATACAAAACTATATTACTTGCTTTGTGTGTTGTCAGAAAATTGAATATGAATGCGTAAAAAATACACTCCATATGATAAGGAAATTCAATTTACTTTGAATATGAAAACGTTGAATTGACGTTTCGTGTTGCTCATTTTTTTCATGAAGAGCATAGAAGAATAATATACTAGAAAAGTAACAATGTTCTCGAGACAGGTAGACACAAATCCGTTTATTAATTTGTCAGTAAACCAAACTGTATGAAACTAAGTATCGTTAATATACTTCGCATATTTACTTAGAGAGAAAATTAATTAAATTGTCTTCGATGATCAACAGATTAAAATTTTGACCAATATGTGCATCCATAACCTGCTTCTATATTCATACGATAATACATCAACTTTAAGGTATATAAAATTCGAAAACAACACGCCTTTGCAGTATTTGACATTTCTATCTAGCAGCCGCTCGCAAACGATGAAATCATCACAGCACATACGCCCCTTTGGAGGTTACACACTATGACAGTGGTTTATCCCAACATGTTTTTTACGCAAGGAGAATCTACGCGTATGCTTCGATGTCACAACACCGTAGTATCTCGAAATTTGATTAACATCGCGAAGAATTAATTGTCTTTTTCGTTACTTACTCTGACCGACCTGTCCCTTGAGCGCCATTTTGCCAGTTACTGACTGCAGGTTTGGTTACCAGGTGGCGCATTTGTAGGAAGACGAAGATAGTTTCAAAATTATCTTAACCACGATCATCTACTAACGTTCCTTGGTTCAAATCGATCGTGTTGGCTCGCGCTCGATAATGTAAGTATTAATTAATTATATATTTTGCAATCTTTCTTTCGAACAACTTACGTAAATCTAAGAAATGTCGACTGTTTTTTATTTCAGTAGAAGTACAAGTAACCTGATCTATAACCTGGTGCAGATACATGTGATGGAATTCGTTGAAATTACAGGTAGGAATGAACGTTTTCCAATAAAATCAATATCTAGTAACATTTCAGTGATTTACGATACGTGTTTACTTATGTTCGTAAAAAATTAAATTAAATCGTAAGTTTGTACAATTGTGTATGTTCATAAAATTCTAAACTGTACTAAACGTGTCTCTTGCTCTTATCAATATGTAAGATAAGTTGGCAATGAAATATAACATTTGTGGGGAATATCTCTTTAAGGATATATTGATTATGTATTTGTAAAATTAACAATTCTTTTTCACAACTTTGAATAGAGCATGGGGTTAATAATATTTTTAAACAATGAAACTTGGTATAATAATGGGTTATTAAAGGAAAGAAAATGGCGGTTTTCTCAGTTCACTTTCGACATATCGAAATTCGATTCAAGAGATACTTATTTCGATAATCGTTTCATCCATTTATTGGTTAGTCCTGCTTTCAGTTAAGTAAACCCCTATTCGAACATAGCGTCTTTCGTGGTTACACAGTGCTGATCGTAGCGTGTTCGATGCCTGCTTGCAAATTATGAATTGAGTTGGTATGTCTTTCAGTTTTACATGTTATGAAAAGTGTAATAAATTTAATAAAGACAAATAAGAAATGTGATAGGAAAATAGTTTATGCCTCGAATAAATGTTTCATAAGTAACATTTTTTTCTTGTACTCTGATCGAGTTTGTACGGAAAATAAGATATCGTAACCATTTTTTTTTTGCATTTATTAATTCGTTGTATTAGAATTTCCTTTAAGGGAAAATAATTTTAATTGAAAATATTCGTACGTTGTATTTCTACACAACGATTCTTTACTGCATACATGGCTTTCTTATGGGTGGTATTTATCTATACGTATATACCGTTAATCGATAAGACAGTCCTTGATTATTACAATCTAGTATTTATATAAATTTAAATCATTATCGAACAGTAGAATATTATAATCAATGTATGTAATATGATTATGTTATATAATTAAAAGTAGGATATCTGACCGATATGAAAATAGTTAAAATGGTGGCATGGCAATTTATATTCGATATATCGAACGCTGACTCGACAGACACTTATTTCGATAATCGTTTCTAGTCGTTTATTGGGCGGCCAAGTTCGCGTCTCTAACACTCCATTCGAACGTAACTCGCGCGTAAACAATAAACTGATTGTTTCAGAAAACTCGTAATCCAGATTGGCGTATCAGTAATATGAAAAGAACATACGGGATGAGCGCACCACCTGAACGCGAGAGGGTCTGGCAACTAAAGCAGGCAGAAGAGAGGGAGAAAGGAGATCGGCTCAACGAGGACGCGAGAGGGTATGTTCAGTCAGTACCGATTTGTTCGCCGGTGTGAGTGGGTCGTGTCGACGGTTTGCGTGCGCAACGCCAGACAGTGTGGTACCCTCGCGTTCAGTAAAAACGACATTTCGATATTTTCTGCGTTTATTTTCTCCGTGATTTCATCGTGCATCGTCTGTCGTGCGCGACGTCCTCGTATCGAGTTCATATATCTTTTTTCGTTTCGTCGTCTCGGCTCGCGTGAACGCACGAGAAAATGTGTGCCGCGGATGTTGTTTAACAGTGATAACACCGTCTTGACTACGGGCAGTTGCATTTGATTTTCTTATGTGACCAGTGCGTTTGTGTAATAGGTTTCCGGTACTTGGTGGTCGGCAGCAATAGTTCACGATGAAGCTGGAGTATCCTTGTCGCGTCGAGGGTTGGCTGAACGTTTGTGGTGAGTTGTTATCTCTCTTCTATATCTTTCGACCGCAAGATCGAAACATGGATCAACACGAGGGGAGAAGTGTGAAAAAATTCCGCGAATATAGCTGGCATCGAATAATGATCTTTTCATTAATTTGTCGCCGTGCTCAACAGCGAAACAAATTTCTCAAGTACCAAATTCAAGACACTTGTAGTGAGAAAGTCTGGACAAATATTTTCATTTATTTATTCAATCTTAGGTTAAAGGTTTTAAATCGATGATCAAAAAGAATTATAAGTATAACAAAATAAGGCTGACAGATCTTAACAACACGCTCCAAATCAACAACCTTGTATCACAAATAGTGTACGTTGACATGACATACGCTTAGGAATTCTTCAATAAGCGAATCGATGACCAAAGTTTGATTACATTGAAAATGTCTTGACAATTGTGTAGAAAAACAATGACAAGAATTATTTTCGGCACAGAAATGAGCACAATTCTTTCTATACAAAATTTCGTATTATAAGAATGGATAAGCAACTTGATGGTTTGAACAAAATTTTCCTTGAAATTATGAAATGAGATGTACTTCACGTCAGTCGAATGGAGAAGGTTTCATCGAATAACTGTTCAATAGAATAATCGAGGTAAATAAGTCACTGCACAATGTTTTATTTTCGCGATGTATCGTTTAAATAAACAGTTGTCTTGTTTTTAGATGCGGTCCACGATTGTAAAAGTTTTCAAAGAATGAGATCGAACAAACTCTGTTCTAATGTGGAGAGAGGTTACGCGCGGTCGTGTGTAGAAAAGTGTCTCTCGTACAGTGAACCTTCCCAGATGCACGTGCGCTGTGCGCCACGAGAACGCTATTTCGTTCATTTCGCTAGCCGGCACTCGAGCCGGGTCCACACGCTTGGTTGCATAACAACAAATGTAGGGGGAGAGTCTGTCATCATTCGGTCGTACAGAACTCTCTCGTTTGTGTCCACTGTCCACGAGAATGTCACGCACGCTATATTTCAAGATTGTTTTTGTATTTACCTCCCTGTAATCTATAAAGAAATCTGACAGATGAGAAACTGTTTTCTCGCCACCGAACAAAGAATGTTCCCTTTGTGTTAGCACTCATTTGTTTTCCTAATCGTTCGAGGTGCACCGGGGATTTTAAACGGTCTCGAATAGTTCGTGTTGTGTCTATAGGTTAGTCGGAGGAAAATTCTTGCTTCACACGTTATTTCGATTCAGAAATTTCGAGCATTTTCTTGATACTGGCACGAGCTAGCGGAGTCGGATTACGTAACGTTCCAACGCCCATTTCTAGGTCACACGGGGCGAGTAAAGCGCGAGGGAGTAATGGATTAACTTTGGAATTGTTTATCTTCTTCTTTGGTTATGCAGATGTAAATAATTGAGAGCACGTTGTCAATTATTTGGTAATTTTGAGCAATAACAGTGAGACCTAATATCTTTTTAAATGTATACATTTATGTATTAGGTTGTCCCGAAAGTTTCTTTCGCGAGTTACACTCGATTATTTTATATGGTCGTGTTTATATAAATAGACAATCTAATTTCATAGATATTCATGTTGTAACAGTAATGGAGCAAAATGAATCGTGGACAATTCAGTAATGTAATATAAAACGTAAACTATTTTGCATGTATTATTTATTAATAAAGCGAAAGAAACTTTTGGGACAATCTAATATAAACAGCAAACTGAAGGTATAGTGAAATCGTTGCACAGGAGTAAAAACAAAAAGAAACGTAAACGTTCACCCACAAATTCGTTTCTTTGATTGTATCGTTGACATTGTAACACGACCACGTTCGCCATCGAATAAAATGGATACACCGCGGATACAGCGAGCGCATCCGATCGCAAGTTAGTTACTCGTGCAGAGAGCGCACTTACTGCGCGGTGATTCTTAGGCAACTATGCTCGGCTTTAATCTCAACCGTAACGCGCACAAAATACTGGTGGTTCCCGGTCACGTTTCCCCTTTTACTTCTACACGAACTTGGCCCCGCTACGATCTCTCGTGGAGGAACGTATAAATAATTGATTTATTGTATGATTTATAACGATTCCCTGTCAGCTCCGTTTCGCCCGATACCGTCCGAAGTTCATCCATGTAACGTCATTGGGGCACTTGAGAAGAGTGCAAGGGGGCAATTACATTCCTCCTCCTCTTTGATACAAGTAGTCATTCTTTAATTGTTGAATTTTTTCATTTGTGAGTGTAGAAGTAAATCAATTCCAAGAGGAAGGTTTTTAGGTTGCTAGTTTACAGACCGTGTAGTCTACTTTTCACTGGTAATTAATTTGTAATTGTTAAGGGGAGATGTAGAGAAGCTATGTAAGAAATAATTCTTTTCCAAATCAATGTTTTTTCTTAAGCAGATCGTAAGTTCTCGTACACAGGAAGCATTAAGACAAAAATGATAGAGGAACAAGTTTTGTAGTTTCCTATAACCAATTTTATTTTGGCGATGTTTTTGGAGGACCAAATGCGATATTTAATTTTTTTAATGGATCTGGAATTATTTAGGCAAATCCATCGACCTGTAACACATGGTCATTTATTGTAATATAAACACTTAAATTGAAGTTCGAAATCAGTAGAACTAACGTAGCCCGCCAGTTGGTCGAACAAGGATAGAGCATCTTCTTTAAATATTATAACAAACTATCGATAAATACGAAAGTTACATTAAAATTCGTAGTTCGTCTTCCCTTCCTGAAAACTTTCAAAACATTCCAGTCGTCAACCAAAAATTCTTTCATTTTACCACCAGTCAGTTAAAATACGCCTTCCCAAATAACAAAGCACCATTACTAGAACATTGTTTGATACCATGGGTTATCCCACAGTGTCCGATTTTAAGAATACCATGTAATCGAGACGTACATTCGAAGTTCATGCATGTACCGCCACGTTTCCGTTTGCGCCGATACGCGATCTATCTTATCGCGAATATTGCCGTTACTACTTACTACTTGATTGTGTAATTGCATTGGTGTTCCTAGTAAATGATATCGCCGCGAATCCAGCAGCTGTAAGCGCGATCGTGAATGCTTGAACCGTGGTTCACGACCCGACGGATCCGAGAGCT